ATTTTTTAGTATGTATAATTTTAACTCCTAAAAAATTCGAAAATCTCTCAAAGAAATCTTTATTGTATTTACATTTAAGGATTAATTAAAGATCTCTTATACATATATCCATTTTATTCTTGTATAATATTTCAAATTTATTAAAAAATTCTTCAATATAATTTTAGAATTTCAGTTTCGAAAGATTTTATATTTTAGTTTTTAAAACAAAGCATGCAATAATATTATTCCCATATAAAATATACATATGTACCGTAAACAGTAATTATGTCAACAATATGAAAGATTAGATAATTACAAAATAACTATTATACATAATTTCTTCATAAAAAAAATATACAATACAAGTCATTATATTAGAATTTAATTTTCGCCTTTTAGGTAATGTAAAAATTAATTTTTAATATTAAGAACAAATTATTTCATAATTATTATTATAATATATTCTTATAAAATATATTATTCTCACAATATGTACAACGAATTCAAAAAAAAATTACGGCAATAAGTATAATAAACTTCAAATGGATATTAAATTAATATACAACAATATTGGAATATAAAGACTGACTTAAGTGAACTTTTTATTAATAAATATTAGCCAGCACAAATTTTAAAATATTTTTTTTGCATTTCGATTTGAAAATACACAAATAATACATATGTATATACATATATATATATACATATATATATAAAGGTACATATAAATTGTTTTTTTGTTTACGTTTTTACTATGTAAATATGTGCACAGTATAGGTAATTATCAGGTGAATTTTATTAAGAACATTTAAAAATACCTTGTAAAAATTGAATTACATATAAATATGTAGATGTTTGCATTTATATATACATATATCACGAATATATGAACTTGCGACATTATCGCTATTATTATACATAAGTATATAATTTTAAATATATCAAGATAATAAAAAAATAATAATTCATTTTATAAATGTGAAAATATGCCGGATAAATAAGAAATTACGTAAATAAGAGAAATATAAGAATACATATAAAATGCAATATTCCCAAAAATATACACATACTCAAGGCATTACATTACATATTATTATGTGCTTTCAATTATAACCAACCACTTATGTCTAAATATTTGTACTATGGTTGAAACTTTTACTTTTTTAATTGCAATTCAAAATTTTTCAATAACATCGCTTGATTATCGAAAATTTTTTCCAAAAAAATAAATAGGATATACTTTACTGCAATTATATAAATAGAATGGTCTGAAGTTGCATGTGATTGCATTTATTTATAAATTTTTTAAAAATTAAAATTAAATACTAATCTTTTAAAAATAAATTATCATTTTCCTTATTCAAAAAGATCAAATAGGATTTTTTTTATTTATTTGACAAAAAAAAAAAACAAAATTTCAAAACAAAAAATTAAACAATAAAAACATTTATATTAAAATTTGGTATAATTTACCGTACATTTTCATTTAATAAAATTTTATCCTTTATAATAATTCGTCTTATAAGTTATTTTATTAAATTGGCAACACCATATATAATTATAATATTTCACTTGTCAATAATAATTTATTCATTATAATATTAGTTTAAATAATTAAATATAGAAAAAAAATTACTCAGTTATAGCATAGAAAATAAAAATATATTCGCAAATAAACAAAATAACACAACCGATCGCGTTCAAGTCTAAAACGATACTCCTAACTCTTCTTCTATGATAGTGTGTTCAATTCGATTATGACATGAATCGAAAAAAAAAGTAAAAATAAAAACAGAAAAAAGAAAAACAGAAAAATTGAAAAAAATATTGTTGCGCTCGATTACGGTAGATGCTCGTAAACACTTGTATCTTTTATACATATATACAATTATACATAAATAAACGTAAATATATCACGAAACCGTTGAAATGTGCAAAATAAAAGTCTAAACTTTTTATTTACAATTTTTCCTATACATAATTTTTTATTTAGTTTTTTTTTCTCTTTCTTTTACATATTATTTTAGGTACTTGATATTTTTCTTAATTTTTTTATGCATATTTTGTTACTGGAATAATAGAAATATTGTTCTATAATGTTTTCCATTTCAACGTGCACACTATTTTCTCAAATTCATCTCGTTTATAAAAAGTTATTGGTTAAGTATTTGTGAAATATTTAAAATAAAAATATCAAAAACATTGAAATAATATTAAAATTCATTCGAAAATATGCAAGTCAAATTTCAAAAATTCTAAACTAATGATCTTATTAGAGTTGAATTAAACCAGTTCAGTTGAATAATAAAATTAGTGAAACAAAACATAAATATCAATATAAGTTAATCAATAAACAAAAATCGATTTAATTAAGAATTAACTCACGTTAACACTATACCAATCATTATTATTCAATAATTTTGTTTGATTTGATCGTCACATCAAACTTTTATAAAAATTTATTAACAGTTTAATTTGACATCTAACAATTATGTTTGATAGAACAAAGAAAAATTGGAACCGCATCTATGTATTTCCAATTCCAACCAAATCTAAATGAATAATGTTAAATGATCGGGAAAACTTGTAAAAATTTTTTCAATTTTGCTTTTAACTTGTTTTTTTTTTATAAATTTTATATTAGTGGCAGGTTTACTTGCACAGTTTTCATGTCGTAATAGAATGAGTGAATAGATCACTTGCAATGAAAGAAAAAAAAATGAATGCAATTGAAGCATAACTATATATTGAAGAGAAACGGTATTATAATACAGGTATTTACAGGTAAATGTAAGTAAGTTCTGTTTATATAGTTTAAATTGTGAATGAACTTTTACTGATCATCATATAGTGCCCAAAAATTATTATTTTTTGCTTCTTTAATTATAATACAATAATTTTTTTAAAATTGTAATGCCTTACCTTTGCAAAATCAAAAATATTATATCTATATATATACATAGTAACACCCTATATTATATATAGGGTGTTACTATGTATGTATACATATATGCATAAATATTTCTTGATTTCTTGTGTATACATGTACATATTTACTTATTATGCTTAATGTTTGTTATTTTCCTATTCAAATATTAATATGTATGTGTTTAAATTCATCTTAAATGTTTTACCTGGGCATATATAGGATCTACTAGTATTTTTAGATCAATAGCGCACCGCTCCATATTTTAATATTAAAATATATATAATTAGTATTGTAGATTTTGTAATAAACAGCAGTACATGTGGTACTATAAAAAAGCTGACTTTTTTAATATGAAGTTTCTGTAATATGAATAAGTTATTTCGAAAGTTTTGTGACTACTATTTAAATCAATACCGTTTTTAATGAAATTTGGTATTACCTTCGACAATTGCTTATCGATATATGTATGTATATGTATATATATTCAACTTTAAAGCAGAACAGTGTAAACCCATGTACATATTACTAAATTATGGTTTGAAAAATGTGTTGTATGTGATATCTTCCCACATTTCTTTATCTTTGTAATTCATAATATTTATCATTCTACATTGATCCTTGACCTATACTAGAACAAGTATTATTACGCAATATGGTAAAAAATAGTGAATATGTAAAATTATTTATTTGAAATATTTCAGTTCAAATTGAAGAAATTATTTTAAATAACAGTATATTGAATTGCATATTATTTACTTCAGCTGTAATGACGAAATTTATTCCTACAAAGTTAATAATTGTATATTAAGTCTAAATATTTATAACATTATCTTACATTAATATTAGTATACATTAAGTACGGATATATATATATATATATATATATATATATATATATATTAATTTCATTCATTGATTTTTACTAGATATTTAAACACATATGTACATTTGTGCCAATAATAATAATATCTATTTTAATAATTATTTCTGAATAATAAATCTTATAATTTTTTATATAAAAGCAGATAAAAATATAAATTACCACTTCTCACTATTATCTTTTATAAAATCTGGTAACTTCCCAATTTTAAATGCGAAGTTAAATTAAAGTACAATAAATGGTATGTTATTTAACTTTTTAATTTTGTTTTTATAAATATGAACAATAAATTCCACACACATTTTATATGGGGCTTTTTATTTATGAAAAAAGTATTATTTATTTATAATTATAGTTTTTAGCTATATTTCACACCAAAAAAACGCATTTTAATTTTAAATACGCAAGTATAAAATTATTATTTATTGTATAAACACGGAAGTGAAATAATCATTTAAAAAATAAAATCAATATATGTATTTTGCTCTAAAGAATCCTTTAAATTAATAAAATTTGTTTATTATATACTACAATATACATATACATATATTTATGTTTGTTACTTTTAATATCGGCTTTTTAAGTGTCGTCTATTTTGATAAAATTTTTTTCATATCTCTAAAAGTATTTCTTTGAACACAAAAAGACGTATGAAGAACTTGCGCTTTAAATAAATAAAATAACAGTAATGTTACAATAAAGTTGTATGCAACAAAGAAGGAAGTCATTTAGTGATAGTATCGAAATAAAATAATTAATAAGTTTTGAGAAATCGATTATTAAAACCAAATTGATAATTTTTAATTTTTTTCTAATTTTTTATTTTATACTGAAACACTACGCTACGTCATATATAGATAAGATAACAGAACCTATATTATAATAAAGAAATGTTCGATTATATAGAAAACTCAAAAGTTCATATTAAACAAATTCGAAATTTAATTAATCATAATCGTTCTTATTCATATAAATACGGTTTTAGAATTTGGTACACCTCTACGAGAAAAGATTTGCGTTCACATTTTGTTTACGATTTCTTTGTTATTTTTTAATTTAACATTTTGTTTGAGATTCCTTCATAAGGAAATTTATTTGGATTGTATTTCGGATTCATAATAGGCTATTTTATAAAAATATATAAAACACTCTAATTAAAAAGACAACGGTAACTCTGAATTAATATATCAATTTTTTTCATTTTGACAGTTGTCACTTCTGGAAAGATTTCTTTTTTGTCAAATATTGGACGAGCTAAGATTTGTGCTTAATAAATTTATTTTACACAAAAGTAATATTTAAGTTTTTATTAACCTAAAACATTTAGAATTAATTCTTATCTTTCATTCATAGATCAGGAAAATGGAAAACGACGCTGGTGATTTTGTAGATTTATATTGCCCTAGAAAGTGGTAAGCTTGTAACACGTGTTCAGTGTAGCCTAAAATTCTTTAATTTATTAAGCTTTAAATAAATTAATGCATTTGAAAAATTTTTAGTACTGCAAGCAATAGAATTATACATGCAAAAGATCATGCTTCCGTTCAATTAAATATTGTGGATGTAGATCCAGTCACTGGACGTATGACGGACACAAATAAAGTGTATGCTATTTGTGGTGCAATCAGGCGAATGGGAGAATCCGATGATTGTATCGTTAGATTAGCTAAAAAAGATGGTCTTATAACTAAGTATGTAAAAACCCGTTGTCTTAAATTCAAAGTGTCTGTTCTTAATTTCAAATGAAAATGAAACAAATACAATCTTTGAATTTACGATGGCGGGATGCAAATGAGAGAACAGAGACTAATAACTAATTTATTTCAGGAACTTTTAATTTTGAATTTTAAGGATACAATAATTCCTGTGCTAATTCATACTATGGTTTATACATATTTGGAAATTATGTAAAATTTTTTTAAATTGTTAAAAGATCAACAGCATAAAGGCACATTCTGAAAAAAAAATTGTTTATTGTAATTTATCATTGCAAGCGCTTTCAGGATTTAATTGTTACCTTTTGATCCTTTTAATTATATACATATGTAAACATACTGTCTGTCACGAATCGACCTATATTTTCATGTAAAAGACTCGAAATAATATAAATTTACAACTTTATAAATTGGGGTGAAGCTAATTCTAAAATTAAAAACATTACAATGCTATCATCCACGGTGTTTTAAAAATAATTATAAGTAATTAATATATGAAGAGAAATAAATAAAGATTCAAGTTTATTAAATAATACACGCATTAAGAAACTGGGTATGTATTTGTCGATAAAAACTTGATTGTTTTGAGAAAGGCAAAGAATACAGAAAGATAGGATAGGAAATTTGAAATTTCGGAGCAACATTGACAATTTTTAAAAATTTAAAAAATGGTACCACTACTTATTTGACAAATCAAGTCAATACGGTGGACAGTCAAGAAAATTTGCTAAAAATTGCCGCTTAGATTTATTTTGATTCGACTGACACCGTAGTTACTGCATTTTTAAACGCAAGACAGATGGGATGGGAAAGTTACTTCATTTATATGCCGCATCATCTCGAAACTCAAGCTGTGTTTTTACTACGTCAGCGTTGTCAGCTTGGAAACTTGAAAACGACGTTTAGTTATTACATTTTAAGTCAACTAAGCAAATTTTTTGTTTGACTTATGTGAAGCTGGCACCATGTCAAGTACGCTTGAAGTACGCTATTTTATAATGTTAACGAATTTATTGCAATTATGTATTGAATAAATATTTTTCATTGTAGTAGATATTCATTTTTAATATGTAAACGTAGTTTTTTATTCTGAAAAATTACTTCATTAATTTACCTTAATGGCCACAAGATGGAGCTGAAAATTAAATCAATGTTACCAATTTGAGAAAAGATAAGATAAATATTTTTTTTTAGTGAGAAGAAAGGGAAAATTTTTGGTTTAAAATAGAAATAAAAAGTAGTTTCGTATCAAGTAAAAAATAATGGCTAAACAAAGCACTTATGGGTCACCAGGGTTAAAACATATAAATTTAGAAGAAATTTGGACTGATTTGGAAAAAGGTATTCAACAAATATATCAAAAAGAAGTTATAGCGCGTCCTCGGTATATGGAACTCTACACATATGTATACGATTATTGCACAAGTGTACATCAACCTTCTGGGGGTAATCGTGCATCAGTAAACCAAAAACTTCCTAAAAAAAGTAATTCATCAGCTCCAATTGGAGGAGCTCAGCTTGTAGGGCAAGAATTGTATAAGAGACTGAAGGAATTTTTGGAAAACTATGTAAGTATAAAATCAACCTACTTTCAATTCTTATGAATATACATATATGTACATAATTTGTATTCTGCATAACATACTTTTTATATACATATTACAATGTATACGACACAAAGGCTTACATTATGTTCATGAGAAATTATATTAAAAGCACTAGTATAACTAAGAAAATTTTTGCAAGGTTAAAATATTTCAATATTACTTGCAAAAATGGACTAATATTAATTTTATATTTTTTTTTGCATCGTTGCAGCTAATTTCGCTGTTACGAAATGGAGTTGATCTAATAGATGAAGAGGTTTTGACTTTCTATACAAAGCAATGGGAAGAGTATCAATTTTCAAGCAAAGTTTTAAATGGAGTTTGCGCTTACTTAAACCGTCATTGGGTTAAAAGAGAATGTGAGGAAGGACGGAAAGATATTTACGAAATTTATCAACTGGCTTTAGTTACTTGGCGTGTACATTTATTTAAACATTTAAATCGTCAGGTTACAAATGCTGTGCTAAATTTAATAGAAAAAGAACGGAATGGAGAGACAATTAATTCACGCTTAGTATCTGGGGTTATAAATTGTTATGTAGAATTGGGTCTTAACGAAGATGATCCAAACGCAAAAGGTCAAAACTTATCAGTATACAAAGAAAGTTTTGAAATGATATTCTTAGAAGATACCGAACGCTTTTATACAACAGAGAGTGCAAATTTCTTAAGAGAAAATTCAGTTACAGAGTATATGAAACGTGTAGAGCAACGTTTAAACGAAGAACAAAAACGTGTGCAAGTCTATTTACATGAAAGTACCCTAGATCGTTTGTCTAATACATGTGAACGTGTATTGATTCAAAAACACTTGGAAGTATTTAGAACAGAATTCCAACAACTGTTAAACTCCGATAAAAATGCTGATTTAGGGAGGATGTACTCTCTTGTGTCAAGAATTTCTGAAGGGTTAGGTGATTTAAAAATAATATTGGAGGAACATATTCACGCACAAGGTCAGTCAAAATAAAAACATGCAAACTCTTTATTCGATTAAACAGAATGTATAACTTTTTAATAATTCTGATTATGATTTCTTTTAGGATCGGCAGCTATTGAGAAATTTGGTGATGCTGAAGCCAGCGATCCTAAGATATATGTTCAAACAATTTTAGAAGTTCATAAGAAGTACAACGCACTGGTTCTCACCGCATTTAATAATGACAAAGGATTTGTAGCAGCACTTGATAAAGCCTGTGGAAAATTCATAAACACAAATAGTGTTACAATTGCAAGTAAAAGTGCTAGTAAAAGCCCAGAACTTTTAGCGAAATATTGTGACATCTTATTGAAAAAATCTAGTAAAAATCCAGAAGAAGCCGAACTTGAAGATACTCTTAATCAAGTTATGGTAGTTTTTAAGTATATTGAAGATAAGGATGTATTCCAAAAGTTTTATAGTAAAATGCTAGCTAAGCGTTTGGTTCATCATACTTCTGCATCAGATGATGCTGAAGCATCAATGATATCTAAATTAAAACAAGCTTGTGGTTATGAATACACAATAAAATTGCAACGTATGTTCCAAGACATAGGTGTTTCAAAAGATCTAAATGAAAAATTCCGGGAGCACTTAAAATCAACAAACTCCCCAATGGAAATTGATTTCAGGTAAACATTTTTCATATTCAAGATTTTTTTTGTTAATAAAAAATTGTATGATTTTAGTATACAAGTTCTTTCAAGTGGATCTTGGCCATTTAACCAATCGTTTTCATTTTCCTTACCATCAGAACTAGAACGAAGTGTTCAGCGTTTTACAACGTTTTATGGTGCACTACATTCTGGACGTAAATTAAATTGGCTTTACAATATGTGTAAAGGAGAGTTAGTAACGAATTGCTTCAAAAATCGCTATACTCTGCAAGCCAGCACTTTTCAAATGGCTGTTTTGTTACAATTTAATGATCAAGTGGCATGGACAGTTCAACAATTGATCGACAATACTGGAATTACTAATGAAAATTTAATACAAGTGCTGCAAATACTTTTAAAAGCAAAATTACTAACTTCACCTGATGATGAAAACAGTTTATCGAATAATTCAATGTTAGAATTATATACTGGGTACAAAAATAAAAAGTTACGTATCAATATTAATATTCCTTTGAAAACAGAACTCAAAGTTGAACAAGAACAAACTCATAAACATATTGAAGAAGATAGAAAGTTACTTATTCAAGCAGCTATTGTAAGAATCATGAAAATGCGAAAAATGCTAAATCATACCCAATTGATTGCTGAAGTTTTGAATCAATTATCCAGCAGATTCAAACCAAAAGTGCCTGTCATCAAGAAATGCATTGATATACTGATTGAAAAAGAATATCTTGAACGAATGGAGGGTCAAAAGGATACATACAGTTATTTAGCGTGAAAGCTACAAATAGATTATAAAATTATTTTCATTTGTTTTTCTATTGGATTTAAATTTTCATTGTCTTAATTTAAATCAGAAATATTTTGATTTGATTATGCTTGATTTTACGAATACAAAAAGGCAAAATCAGCTCGAAAATATCAAATCTCGAAATTGCTAATAAAAATAGAAACTCAAAATAAAAAGTTATCTTATTTAAATAAAGAAAAAATATCTCAAATAAATTTATTTTTATCTTAAATTTTTATTTTTTTCACAAATTATTTTAAGATCTCATTTTTTTGCCGCAGAGTACAAAATTAGAAATGTAGAAGAAAAACCAACTTGAATTATCCGAAACCATGAGACATGGTTAATAGCTACAAAATAATATATTTAGAAATACCAGTCCCAATTTCTGATTATACATAATTACCTTTGCTTAAAACCATATTTTTTTCTTTCATAAAATAAGTCCGTTTTAGAGCTTCCCAAATTAACAATTTTCGGGCAACCATCCCGCTGAAATTATACATGCCAATAATTAATTCTATGGGGAAAATGTATAACCACATGGTACTTACATCTTTTTCTTGTATTGTACATTCTTTGCAATAATAAGCATCAGAAACACCAGGACCACCACAAATAACACATCTACCTTGATATGATCCATAATTGCATTCGTCACAAATTCGAACTAAGGTGCAAGGTCTAACATATGAGTCGCATATTACACACTTTCCATCACACTTTTCACAAAGGCGTCCGATAGCTAAGAATTAAAGCATTACAAATTTGTAATAGAAAATCATTTTGTTTTGAATCTTACCAACTCCGGGCTGTTTTCTACAAAAAATTAAATCTGGATGATGTTTTGCCATTTTTATTTTTTAATCGTAGCTATAAAATGTGTGTAAAAATTTTTTATCAATGTTTTATATTAACTTAAATTGTTTGTTTTATGTTTTGTATTAGGAAAATAAACAGGAGAAACAAGAATAAGACATAAGGCAGCAAAAGTCAATGTATATTGTATATTTTCTATAGTGTATGTATATACACGGAATTTTTGAATGTCAAATTTTTTTAACAGTATTCCTGCACATATAATCCAACACCTTATAAGGTCCGCTGAATAATTGCTGATAAAAACCATTTTTAAGAAATGTGACCTCATTCGGAAGACATTATATATTGAGCGTTTTTCCTTCTTAATTAAAACTCAGATATAAGGTTTGAGGAAAACACATAGACATCTGAATAAATTAAAATTGATAAAGTCCTGATTAGTTTGAGTTTATTTAAATCTGTACAGGGTACATTTTGATATTTTATAAAATATTATACTATCTCTAGGACAGAAATTTATATGTAGCATGTGCTTGTGAACACTCAAAAAAGTTCAAAGTTAACACATTAAATTTGTCCTTTTTCCGCAATTAAAAGAAGTCTAAATTTATGAAATCTGTTAAGTCAGTAATTCTCAGCGATCATCTGATCATGTGAGTAATTCTATTCTGACTCTTTATTTCATAAAGGGAAATACAGATTTGTTAAATTGCAATATTTTGTTAACCAGAATTCAACTAAACTAAATAATCCCGCTTTAAATAACGCCTAATTAAAAAAAAATTAAAAAATTAGACATTTTTACAATGACAAATATAAGCCGAAAAACGGTTGTTGAATTTGATAAATCGTTATTAACGGTTGAGGTTATCGCAAAGCTCATAATTTGGTTAAATAAAAACCATTGTTCTTAATGAAAACCGTCAACCATTTAAAAAATCTGTAAGATGGTTTTTAAGGTTTCAATTAACAATTTCCTCCAAATTTTTCTTTATGTATGATTCTTTATATATAAAAACGAATTTTTCGGCCAATAATTACTTGAATTATAAGTTTAAAATTTTTATTTGACTTCACAATAATATTTTTTCAACTTGTCACAGAATGGTGTCAAAATCATTAATATATTTATAATATTATTATAATAGTAAAATATTACGCTAAGAGCGACATGTTTTACGCTATCCAACATATATGACATTTATGACAATTAACGTTCTAATTTTTGTACTAGAATTTTTTTATTGTTGAAAATTTGGAAAATCTCTTAAATATCATAAACAAATTGGAGTTACAAATGAGAAAATTCCGAAAAAATATATTTTCATTTGAGTGAAGTAATGATTAAATCGTGTAACTCAAGATAAATCATAAGAAGCTATTATTTAAAAAATAATCATTTAAATCATTTATTTTATAGGAAGAATTTACAAACAAAGTTAACATGAACTCATCCGAGTCGTCCGTAATTGTTTTGGACTCTGACGATGAAGAAGTAAGTAGTTTCTCCAGAAATAATTTATGTTATTTTCTAATTCTCTACCTTCAATACCTGCAATAAATAAATCTAGAAAAGAATTTCCTTTTTCCTCCGTATTCAATATTCAATATAAAATTTCCCCTTCTATAAAATACATTTAAGTCTTGGGCTAAATAAAATATACAACACTAAATGCTAAGACGCCATTCTGTGCTTTTTGTGGAACAAGCTGAAAGAAACAATTATTTTATTATGAAGTCAAATAAAATTTTTAAACTTATAATAATTAAAGTAATTATTGACCAAAAATTCCTAAAAATTTCTAATAATCTATATATGTAATACCGCGCGCGTTTTTTTTTTTAACATTTTCTGTCAACACAAGTGACAAGCCAAATGGATTTAAATAACAAAAATGAATAAATTTTATTTTTTTTATGACATGGATTTTTCTTTTTTAGGATCAGTCAAATCGTCATTTATCAAAAGCAACGGATCCGAAGCCAGTATCCAGAATCAGTAGTCAAGTGGCTCCTTCAGTAGTGCAAAATGCGCGAGCCATTTCAAAAGCCAATATTAATATTGCAAATCAACATGGAAAAACTAAACTTTCAACTTTGAATCAGTTTCCTCCAAACAAAAATACAAATTCGGTTTCTATAATACCACTTAACAAAATGCAAAATTTAAAACCTGTAACGAGTAGTGACCAAACTACGAAAAAATTTCCTTCAAATTTATCACCCAAAAATTCTCCAAGAAGTTCTCCTAATCTTCAAAGAACTGCTTCTTCAAAAAATACTTCTTCAGCTTTAAATTCAGTTCCAACTAGCAGAAAACCTTCAATGAATGTATCGAATTTAATATCAAAGGAAAAGTTGAATTATGAAAATAGTCGCAACAATAACAACGAAGTAGTAACTCGTGAAAATTTCAGCACTAAATTGGCATCTTTAGCATTGAATCAACATTTGAATATAGGAATTAGTAATTCTAATTCAATACTAAAACGAAAGCTTGAAAATTCCGTGGATCCTCTTGGTATAACTGTCCCTAATCAAGTTCAAAAAACTAATAGCTACAAGCGAATAAAACCTACAATGATTTCAAGTACTGTTAGTCCAAAATGGAGTCAATTATCGAACACTATTACAATAGATGATGATGATGACGATGATGAGAGTAGTAAACGCAAACTCAACCATCCACAAAAGGTAAATAAATCCCGTTCAAATTCAATTGCCAGTAGTGGTCCAAGTCCTTCACCATCTATTTCTTCAAACGCAACATCGCCACAATCGCAAAGCTCACCCACCACACCTTCACCATCTTTAAAAGATTCTAATCGACGTGCTAGTACACCTAAAACAGGAAATATTACAGAAAGTTTGACAGAAAAAGCAAAGATATTAGGATCATCTCGTTTAGAAGACTCTCGTAGCGAAAATAAAACTTCAGAAAAGACCGAAGAAAACCTGAGAGTTTCTTCTGATTCGCCTATTCCAAATGGAAATATGAGTGGCGGTGAAGAAAGTTTTGAAAAGAAACAAACAAACGAAATAATACCAGCTTTTGAAAAATTAATAGAAGCATGTAGGAAATCAGAAAAATCTAGCGATATGGAGATTTTGATAGAAAAAAAGCTTTTAAAATATTATCACTCAATTCATCCGGACTTCATAACATCTAAATCATTTAAAAAAACCGTTGAAAATATAACGAACGAAATTTTAGAAACACCCAGTTTAGTTTATATTAAACTAAAGACAATAATCGAGGAGTTAAAATCTAGGAAAAATAGTAAAGTAATTGTAGTTAGCAATGACGGTCAAACTTCTACTGGCAATGATGAAGTTGACGAGAAGGTAAGAAGATTGAATAAAGGTCTTAGGAAACTTAAACATATGATATCAAAAATGGAAGAAGAAGAAGTTGATTGGGATAGCGAATATTCATCATACTTAAAAGTAGAGAAATTTAAAAAACGTGCTTGCGAGGTAAATTATTAGATATCTTTATACTCATTTAAATATATGAGTACCATAACTTTGTAAAATTAATTAATTTTTAGATTTATGAAAAAATTTGTGATCTTACTGGTGAAAGTAAACATGCTCAAAGAACTGTTAGAAAACCTATAGTTTTTAATCACACATCATACCCTAAAATTAATAAAGCCATTGAAACGTTTGTCAACAAAACAAAAATGTTCCCGGATTTTCATGATATCTTAACAATATTACAGCACTGTAATAAAACTTACAATCTTAACTTAACTTCTGAAGAACTGAAAAGAATAGGTAAATACGATGTACTCATTTACAGGATGTACTTGTATTGAATATAATATTTTAATCTACTTATTTCATAAATTCAATTCTAATTGTTTTTTGCAGCCCAAGACGCATTCGTTAAAGTAGGTAAACTACTACAAAATCGCCGAAAGACTGATTTATATGAAACCCTTTCACATTACACGGAAAAAATTAAAGATCCTGCTTTAGAAGATTCCGATTTAAACGCAAAATTAACTGAAAACAAAAAGCATTATGGAAAAATAAATGCTTTAATACAAAAGCAAGTTATTTCTTTATCATTTATTTTCAAATCAATAAAAATGATTTTTTTAATTTTTAGATATGCCCGTGAACAAGACACTTTACAATCAGAAAAATTAAAAGCCAAAGAACAAACCCGTAAATCTGAAAATAATGTTGACTCATCAGAGCATGAAGATAATAATGAAATAAATAAAACGCAGATAGATTCTTCAAAAGATAATAATTTCGGGAAACAAGCTGCAGAGGTTAATGATAAAATACGCAATACACCCAGTTGTAGTTATACCACGTATTCCAGTAAAAGTCAAGGTATTGTCGAAAATGATAAAAATATTGTTCATAGTAAAAAAGGGGAATCAAATAACGAAGAACTTTTAAAAAATTGCGTTGGCAATAAAGAATGTAATGATAATAAAAAATGTAACAGTAACATTGAAGAAGTTAAAAATAACAAAACAAATATTGAATCTAATAGTATTTCAAAGATTAATTCTGCAAAAACTGTTGTAAGTAAAGACAATAGCAGCAAAACGTCGAATTCATGTAAAGTGGATCCATCTTCCCTTAAAATAGTAAATGTTACATCTTTATCCGAAAAATCAAAAACTAATATTTCGTTATCTAAATCGTCAACTTCTAATTCAAAATCAGTTATGCCGTCAACATCAAATCTTAATAATTTTAGTAAAAATAATATTAGTGATAAAAATAAGGAAATTGATGAAATAATTTTGTTAGATGATGATGCGTAGTTTTTTGTTTTTATGATTTCATTTTTTTTATTTCTTTAGAACTATATTTACTTTTAATTTTTTCATTAAGCGTTTTAAATGTTAATAAATGTTGCAAATTTAAAAAATAATTTTCAACTCTGGTGTCAAGAATTTTTTTAAGTTTTTTGTTTTTACCCTTCCCTTGCATTCAAACATTTACAATTCAATTTAATTTAAACTTAATGTTTTTAAATCACAGGGAAATCAGAATTATTTTAATAATTCAAAATCTAGCCAAATTAAATAATTAAATTTAATATTAGTTTGTCTACATATTCTCTAAAAAAAATGATTTGAAATTTACTTTATCAAATTTTAAATTTTATTATTAAAATAATTATTTAAATTTTTGGTTCAATATATTATGTAATATCAAATTTGCAGCATTTATTATTAAAATTGTAAAAAAAAGAATTTAAAATAATTTGTATACGTGGAATTTATTTTTATTTTACACATTAGATAGAATATTTATAATATGGTACTTGTTTAGTAAAAAAGCCAAACATTAAACAATTTCAGAGTACATTTTTTCTATGCTAAAATATTTTATTTTGATTAAATTTTATTGAAAATTCATTTCTAAGTTGCTAATATCTTCATTTTTAGTTTTAACAATTCTTCTTTTAAGCAATTAATTCAAAAATCAAAACATTAAACTTTTTTAAGCTTTTTATTTAGCTAAAGTGTATTTCAACATTACAATTAGGTTTTAATAAGGATTTTTTTTCAGTTTGAGTTAATCAAGTGAGTTTAAACAAATTAATTGATAAAATTGTATTAACAATATTTAATACTATTTTTAATGCTAAGGGTTGTAAATAAGTAAAAAAAAATTTGAATATAAATGTATTTTAAAATAAAATTAAAGGTAAAAAAATTTAGAAATACGTTGTGAGCACTAAAATAATAAAAAAAAGAAATAAAAAAATAAGAAAAATAAATAAAACAAAAAAAAAGATGATTATTTTAATATATTTTGCAATATATATTTTGTTATTTCAAATTCTTCATCCCGAAGCTCTTCAACAATGTCAAAGTGATCATAATTTTCAAAAATTTTCAAAAAACTATTATAACCATATTTATTTAATCTCTGATAAAAATCTTCACTTTGTTCAATGAAAGCTGGGCTATCGTTCTCCGCTGCTAGTATGTGAAACTGCATGTGATTAAAATAGTCTCGTAGAATTTGAAAATTTGTGAATTTTGGTGATAAAATTTTTGCAATTCTTTTGTCCAAATTCAATATATTATTTGGATTAACAGCTTCAGTTTTATACAATTTGGTTAAATCGTATACGCCTGAGATTAAAAATATTGATTTTATTAAATCTAGATTCGGTACAGATGTGGCAAAAATGCTAAGTAAAGATTTTGCTATTAAATGAGCACCAGCTGAATGGCCACACAAGGTAATTGAACTAAAAAGAAAATTAATTGAAAAAAATTTCGCTAAAGCTTCACATCTTAAAAAGACAGTATTGTTCAACATTTTAAATTAAACATTTGAAAATATATAAAATAATTATAAAAAAGTTTTGAGATTTTAAATTGATAAATTGAAAATATTAATATAAAATATCCAATATTGATAATATTATGAACCCAGAACGTCTTACCTTGCATTAGTATCACTGGCATATTGTACAATGTAATAAATAGCTCTTTTTATTTGTTCAACAATTTGCATTAATGATATATTAGGACATAAATCATAATCTACAATTATTACTCGATATCCATTTTCAACAAGTGGTTTCACGCAATATCCGGAATTTTGTTTACTCAGTGCTTGCCAATATCCTCCATGAATATATACAAAAATTGGTTTGTCTGTAAATTATACTCGTATATAAATCTGTATCGTATTTCAAAAATTTTATTTATAAAAATTACAAAATTATGAAATTTAAAATAAATAATTAAAATTGATTTTTTTTCATTCCCAATATCAACAAAAAAATTGGTAGAGTTATTGATCGGATGCAGAATTTTTTTTTTACTTACATAACTCAAAAAACTTTAATACCTTTGAGGCATACTTTTGAGATCAAGATCACTATTTATCTACGAAAAAAGATTATATTCTTGACCATCACATTACCGCACATAATCTATTTATATGTATGTATTAATATATAATAAAAGCATCGATGCTTTTATTAATAAAAGCAATAAAATATTCGAATAGAATTAACAGAAAACCATTGTAACTTTTGACGCAGCTAAATTTAAACTAGACCAAAGAAAACGCATGTTTATAATTTGTTAATGTACTTGTGTATATACATTATGCGAGCAGCATTATTCTTTAGAATTATTAATTATAATTATTATAATCAAATGTTGCTGTTTCGCTTATGTAAAAAAAATTATAGGTTGGGATAGGATTTTATTAATGAATTATTAAAGTAGGACGTTAGATTTTGAATTGTGATATTCGAGAAATACATACAAGTAAATGTATGTACATACAGATGCATATGTGTAGCATGTAATTATAGACCACGGAACCATTCCTCTTAAAAATTTATATAATATGTACCATATACTTTGTTAAGTTCAAATTGTCATGCAAGTGGTTAAAATAAGATTGATTTCAAATGTATTTTATAAATAGGTATATTTAGAAAATAAGCAACACTATGGAAATTACTTTGTAAAGACACGAAATAATGGAAATACATACTTAATAATATTAGTAATATATTATTTACATATATATTTTTGGTTTGCCAATTTTAATAAATCCATATTCTATTGCTTTATGTGTTTCTAAATATAAAAATTACCGAAATAAAAGAGTGGTGCAAATATATACGTAAGTCCATACATATGTACATTCGTATTGAAATGTATGTATGTGCATATGAACTTGAAATAATTCAAGTTCATTAATTTTTTCTAACTGAAGTCACACTATTTTTGAATTTATTATTTTTATACTTAACAGAAAAATACAACTGTAATGCCTCATGTGTATACACATTAACATGAACGTTATATTATAATAAATGCACCCGATTCACGATACGCGAAATTTTATTTCATACTTCATGTTATCTTATTAATTCATGTTATTTAATGTTATTATGTGTTAATTTGGGAATTATAAAGTAGAAGTCCGATTTACATATTTCCGATGTTAATGAGAAATGTAGATATGTTAAGACTTTAACGGTAATTTCATTAACGAATCTAAAACTTACTTACTTTGACAGATGTAATTTGACAATTAAAATACATTATTTCATAGCACTCGCATATGTTATCGGACATGGAGGTATGTACATATATGTTTACCCTACTTCGCTGTTAATCGTATTTTATCGTATTGGTAAAATTAATTTACTTTGTTAAAAAATTCTATTTGAATACGCCTACTTCGAGATTGATCTGTCTTTTAGTACCTTGTATCAATTGTTTTAAATTAATAATATGCTGTATAGAGCTACTGACATAGGTATAGACAGATACACCCATAACTTTTTGGTATAACTTTCATAGGTATAACGTGTTTTTTCATTTTATTCAAAGATCTTCGTGAAGCAATTGATATTAATAATAATTGTATTTGCATAATATTTACAATATTATAAATATCCAAGCAAAAATATTATGAAGTATTATATCTTTCCCTAAATCTTTACGTTATTTATGAACAGGCTCTATATACGTATATATTTTAAAACTTATAGTGGTAATATATTTGAAAATTTTTAGTGATAAGAATTTTAATTATTTATATAAAAAATATATCAGATTAATAAAATTAAGGTTTTTTATACGTACCAAGTTCACTATACTTATAATAAATATCAAATTTTTCGCCATCACTACTTCCATATGGAATACCTTCTCTGAACATGTAATTTTCGATGTTATTGTAAGTTTCTGTAATTATAATGACATTAACATTAATATTTTTTACATTTTATTTTTCGAACAAACCTCTCGTAATTATCGATATGTGGTTTTGTATAACATCATCACTATTCTCAAAACGTTTGGACCATTTACTTGGAGAAAACAAACGTTCAGTATGCTCAACATTTTTTGTTTCAATTTTTGAAATTGTTTCACTTAAATTTGTATTAATAGAGTTCCAGTAATCTGCCATGATTTTATATATTTTATTAATTTTCTTTCCCTATTTTATTAAAAATATATATTTATATATTGTATGTATTTCAACAATCACATTTCATTCTTAAATCTAAAGTAATTTGGTATTAAATATGTATGTACTATAACTTTACTCTAAAATTAATCGAGATAGCATGCAAGAGAACTTCACTGATCAATTACTTGTAATTGAATGTTGTTTGGTTTTGCTAAGAAATTTTAAGTCAAGCATCACGAAGAGAATTCTATAAACGGTATAACTAAATAAAGAAAAACAATAAGAATAAAATAATAAAATTTATATATAATAAAATAATATTGCGTTAGGAGCGAGTGTATATGATTATAATATATGAGAGTATAGCAGCGCATCACAATCCATTGTTATGGCGATGAAAATAAAAATTTTTATAAAAATGTAAGAATGATACGAAATATTTTTTTCAAAACAATTTTTTTATTGATTACAACTATGAATATTAATTTACGTATTTAAAAAATTTCATCATATTACTCGTAAGTACATAAGAAACTCTTTGTAAAGTATAGCCAACCTAATCCCATAATTCCATATTTAAATTAATAAAAACTTATTAAGTGTGAGCAACGAAATTTTATATTGAAAATAAAATATTTATGTAGGTGTGTGTGTCCTTGAAGTAAATCTACTTCTCATTTATGAATTGTATGCCGTAAGGAGTAAAAGGATTTAATGGGTCGCTATGAAGTTGAGATTTGGAAACGCTGATGTATTATACATTCATGAAATATGCATCACACACATATACGTTTAATATAATAATAACATTATAATTTCTTTCACATGTGCGGTAGTATTTTAGTAACCATTTATTGATCAGACGTTTAACGTTATTTACATTAATAATATTTATATGTATGTATATTTAGAAATCTTTGTTTTCCAGCCGTACTAAGGTACCTTCTGTCGTCAAAATTTCCCAATTATCACGCTATGAAAGTAATATTGCACAATTTGACATTTATTCATGCATACATCACCGTTAATGATATTTTAATAATATCGTGTGCAGTCTCATCTCAATTGAATAAATTAGTATATTATTTTTGAATTTGTGCTTTTTCTGATTTTATGGTTGCGTTTTATTAGCATTTAGTCATACCGTTTTGGCAGATTGACGGTGACTTTACACAAAATGAAGATTCAGCCTATTAAAATTAAATGACTGAATTGTCATTTTGTGGGAATTGACTGTCGATCGTTATCTTACTGCTGATTTTTCTAGACCGATTGTAAATTCTCACAAAAATACGTTTAATTTTAATGAGCTTATGGTATTTTTTGTGTGAAGTGGCAGTCAATCTTTTTCTTAGGCAACATTACCAGAAAATACACGGTTAATTCCCTCAAAAATAAAATTAAGACATTTAATTTTAATGGGCTGAATGAATTTTTTGTGTGAAGTGACCGTCAATCGTTTATTCGTGTCATCACTGTTAATGTCACTTCACTTGTACGTATTTTAAAAAAATTTTCCAGGAGAAAACGACCGGACGTTTGTGACAATTCAATTAACAAAGCTTTTAAATTAAAACTCGCATAACCTAGCTGATATGTCAAATTATGAAATTTGATATTCGGGCAATAATTTTGTATTTTCAAAAGTTTAAAAGGTTGAATTCAATTAATCACGTACGCTTTATTTACTCAATAAACCAACAACTAATCTGCAATAGACCATATCAACCAATATCATACTCATTATTTAGAAATTGTTCGAATAAAAAGATAAACATGTCCAACAAAGAGGCTAAAGAGGAATTAAGAAAGAGATTAACTCCAATGCAATATGAAGTTACACAAAACGCAGGCACCGAAAGGCCATTTTCTGGGGCGTATGATAAGCATTTTGAAAAAGGAGTATATCAGTGTATAGTTTGTCACCAAGATTTATTTTCATCAGATACCAAATATGATTCTGGCTGCGGTTGGCCTGCTTTCAATGACGTTTTAGATGAAGGAAAAGTACAATTACGCAAAGATTTTACCCTCGGAATGGAGAGAGTGGAAGTTCGTTGTTCTAATTGCTCAGCCCATATGGGTCATGTTTTTGATGATGGACCAAAACCAAAAAGAAAACGATTTTGCATTAACTCTGCAGCAATCGATTTTGTTCCGGCTCCAAAATAATGATAGTTAAAATATTTAATTTTTTTTTGGTTGCTTAATTTTAAAGTATTAAACATTATTAAAAACTCAGCTAACTTTTTTGTGCCTTTAGTGGAAAAATTTTCAAATTATATTGAGTAAACATACTAATATTATGAACCGAACAAAAATTTCTTCGCAATCATCCTTTACTAACAACTACCTACTTAATTTTATTTCATTAAAGTAAATAAATCCAGTTTTAATTCATTTATTTATAAAATTCTGTTTTAATTTAATATCAGCTATGAATCAGTATTTACAGTATAGCCATGTAAAAGATAACCACTATTCGCATTCATATTAACTTCAGGATGTGTTCTGTTGGGTAATATTTGCAAATATCTGAGCCAAGTAGAAGTCAAATGTAGATCAGTTACTTTAGAATGAGTTTTCAACTCAACATACAATTCTGCTAAAATTTCTTTAGAAAGATTGAATATTACAACAGGTCTTGAAGGTTTCAAAAACGGAAGCAAAGTTTTCAATATATTTGAGGGGTGCTCCTTTGATGCTATTATTAAAGAATCAAATTTCTCTTTTATAAGTTCACACGCATTTTGATTAGCTATATGCCATTGTGGAACTTTTTGAGGCTCAGTTTTTTCTTCTATTAAAACATCTAAGCTTTTTTTAGTTACACCATTTTCAGTATTTTCTTTTTCCATTTTTTGTTTCTTAAACGGTGGTTCAGATATTTGATTCGATTCATCAGAACTATTTGAATTAGAGGCATTTTGGAAATATTCTCGTAATACTGAATATATGTTAACTGAAATGCACCTATCTAAAAGCTCAGTGGGGAAATTCATTGCCAAAATTCCCTGTTTCTGGCATATATTGCCAGGATGCATATGTACGAGTTGAGCTTCGGTTCCGACGCCCATTGAATTTAGGAAAGCTGCTGGCAACAATCCATTGGTTCCTGATTCATATAACAAAAATTTTCCAAACCCACATATTCCAGAATAGGAAATAATTTGAGAAAGGGTGTCCATTCGAATTCCCATTACCTTGTCTGGATCTAATCGGTAAAATATTTCAGCTAGAAGCCGAATAGTTGGTTGCCGAATTTGTACAAATTCAAAATATTTTTTTTCTTTTTTTTTCAAATATTTTTCTTGCGAATATTCTGTTTTTGAAGCGAATGATTTGGAGTTCTCAACAATTTTTTCTAATATTTCGGCAGAACCAGAGCATTCATCTTTTAGTTTATAAATATCATCTGATTTCAAATTTTGTGCATTTCCACTGGCTGTTATATTGCGATTATCTTCCCCACATTCCTGTATATTTAATATTTCACGAATATTCCGCATTTCATTTTCTGTACACAATTCCAAGCTATTCAAGCGTTTTTTTCCTCCATGTCCTCCTTTTTTATCTTGCACTATCATTTTGAATGTGGAATAGTAAAGTTTCCCTTCAATATTGCGAAGTTCAAGTTGCTCTAAAAATGAAATATCAACCAGATTATTTATATACATATGTATGTATTTGTATTATTTATCAATTCTTATACCATTGGCCAGCGCTGCTGTTGACTCAAGGCTGCTAAATTTATGCAATTTAATATATTTTTGTCTCTGAATTATAATATAATCACCAACTTTGATTTGCGGAGGATTTTCATCCATTTTCATCACTTAATATTATGGATATAGTTTATTCTAAAGAATTTCCAACTTTACAATTTAAGGTTATGGTAAAAGTATGTTTTATTGTTTTGTTTACATCCTCATTCTTCTGTTGTTTTGTAATTGCTCAAAATGACAATCAGGGTTTTATCTACCAAATGTTTGCAGTAAAACGAATTTCATTGTACACAATTGAATAAAGGTCTTGACACAATTGAATATATGTTTCAAATTTTGTCCATGGAGAAATAATTTTTGGAATGACTGCATTTCTTCAAGTTTAAGTTGAGTTTTGTGTTTGCCTTCTTCTGTATATTATTTTTTTATTGTATAATGCACACTGTACAATATAACCAAAATTTGAAAAAATTTAATACTCCGTTTAGAGTAAAATGGCAAGTCTAAAATAACATATCTAATACTTTCGAAGCACACATGACTAGACAATTGTCACTCCACAAGAGAGCAAAAATGGCTTAAGAAACTTATGAAAATTGACATTTCGGTACGATTTCAATATTATTTGCTAATAGCTAGCCTAGCTAATACAATACTACGAAAGTTTTGTCAAAATTAAAAAGCCATTTTTATAGCAAAGGAATTAGTTAATAAAGTCAATTCATTAAAATTATAAAAAGAATTTAATTACGGAAAAAAGGAAAGTGAGTGATTTTTAAAACTTAAATAACAAATAAATTATTTAATAGAATTAGTATAAATTTCAAATTGGAAAAATTACATTTTAAAAAAAATTATTACATATGTACATATGTACATAGAATTAAAATTTGTATGGACTCAATTAAAATAATTAAAAACTGGAAAGGAAAAAATTTCGTATTAAGTGATATAAAAATGAATTTTTAATGACTTGAAATTATTATTTGGACTCTTAACCTTATATTGTATGTAATTTCTTATTGTGCTTTTCACTAACATTCGTGACATACATATGTACATAAACTTCATTTAAATAACTTTCAAAATCTTACCTGTATTAGTACTTCGTAGCACCTGTTAATTAGGTTGAAAAAAGCGATTACATTTATATTAAATCTTCATTACAAGTTTTATAACTATTATTTACGCGCTATTAGATTTTCAGAGCTTCTAGTATGATTTTAATTTTTACTCAAATTATTTAAATATCTCTGTGAACATTAGGTAAATATAAATTCTTTACACAATGTAGGTATGTATGTACGAAATATAAACGGGCATTTGAACAGATTTTTTATTGATGTAAAATGTAAGGGAACAAATACAAGTTTTCACAGTTTTTATTCAATTGATTTGACAATATTTTTACTTAAATTGCATTAATTTAAAAGTACTTCTTTTTTAAGTTTGAACGATGAGTGCAGATATGCCAAGAAATGATGAAAGCCAACAGCAAGAGCCATCACCGCCTAGCAGAAATTATAATGGTGTTCTTGCACATGCAAAAGAAAATAAAATAGACACGGCTATGTTGGGAACAAGAATTTTGACAATTTTTTTCACGATATTATATGTAATCCCCATTTTTGGGTAACGTTAATTTTAACAATATTGAAAATATACAATATAACCTTTTCCTTTTATTTTCAGGAATTCACAAAAATATTTTACTCAAGCATTAATAGCTAATGCGGCAACAAGTGCTTTAAGATTACATCAACGCTTACCGCAATTTGCACTTACAAGAGAATTTTTATCTCTCTTATTAATAGAAGATTCTTGTCATTATTTATTTTATACAGTAATATTTTTATATGTTTCACCAGTATTCTTAATATTGCTACCTATATTTTTATTCGCTGTCTTACAATCATCGAGTTATACTATAAAATTATTGGATGTAATAATATTAATTTAAAATATTTGGTCCTAGAATACTGCAATATTAATTTTATAATTTTTAGATTTTAGGTACAAATTCGATGGTTATTTTGCGGCTAATTATTTCATTTGTTGAATTTCAATCAAGAAATATCTTACGTTTATGCGCTTTTTCTGAAATATTTTTGATGCCTTTATGCATTATTTTAGTGTTTATGTAAGTAGTGGCATATAATTTTTTTAATTATTGAACGTTGAATTGAAACATAAATATTTTAGGGGCCGTGCTGGTTTGTTGACTCCATTTATATACTATCATTTTCTCTCAATGCGTTATTTATCCCGCCGTAATATGTATACAAGACAAATGTTTTCAGAGCTAAGAATGGCGGTAGAAGTAATGGCAAGAAACTCACCACCATTTATTAACAGGATATTACTTGGTGGTATATCATTTGTGACACGCTTAGCTCCACAACAGCAAGCAGCATAAATCTAGCTTTAACAAAAAAAAAAAAATTTTACATGAATATAAGAAAAAAGGTTAGACAAATTTTTTTTTTCGTTACTTTTTAAATTTTTAAAACCAACGTGTGTATTATGTATTCTTACAAATTTAGATTCAGAATATCAGAAAGGTTTTGATTCTTATAAAATAGAACATAAATTGTATAAATCTAATTTAGACTCCAGTATTTTCAAGATGGCATCTTAATAATATGTTAATTTCACTAGAATTTTTAGTTTATTATATTTTGTCTAAACATTTGATATAATATAAAACTTTTGTATAAAAATAAAAAAAACTTTGAAGTTTAATTACAAAATATATATTAAAAGAAATTAATTATTCTTTAAATCTTATTATAGTAACGTTGTTTGGTATTTAGTATTTTAGATAAAGTACCTATTTAAGTTCAAAATATTTTTTATATAATCCTATCAAGTCGAAATTAATATAATGGGATCATTATGGTTAAAAGAAAATTTTATTAATGTACAATAAAAAGAAATATAAAAACTAATAAATGTTTAAATGTTCCTAAGAGATGTCAGAAATGTAAGACAGCATTTGCTCACCGTTAATATATCAGTATTATTCAGCACTAAGGAAAATTTCACTACGTCAAATAAATTCAAGAAAGCTTTAATATTAGTAGTTTTTCAACTATTTAAATTATTAATAAAATTGATCTAAAATCTAGATATGTTTATCTTATCATAAATTATCACGCCTATGTAAGTAGGTACATAATTATGTCATTACTATATACATAAATCCAGTATACAATCTGTATAGTGAATTTTATTAAATTTGGTTATTAATGACAGGTTAAGTAAATAAAAAAATTTAAGTACAAAATACTGTAATCCACTTGTACAGGTATTTTCTTGATTTCTTCATATTTCGATCTTGTACTATTCGTATTTGGTACCTCCTTACTTATCAGTTTTTTAAAGTGTATTACGCTTTACCCTTTCTAAATCTGGAATTGTAATTCAAATTAAGAAGCATTATTTGATACTGTTAATAATGCATTACGGGAGCGTAAACGTTTGATATTCACATAATTATTTATTCTAACATAGCTTTTTTATTTTTGTGCAAAACATGCAGAAAGCAGTTTTAAAACTTCTTCACTCTTGTGTAGCGATTATTATTTTGTGTATCTAATACGTAAACCAATATGAATACATATGTATTGGTTTGAGTTTTTGATAAACTTAAGAATGACCCAACACTTAATTTGTAATAAACGTCAAGAAAACTGCTGATTTTTGTTAATGTCATAATATCAATAACAAAACATTAATAATGAAATAAAGTTGGCATTGGCAGTAAATATTTAAATAATTTAATAATTTTTTTAAGTGATTAAATTGTAATATACAATTTCCGTATATAAATAATTTTAAAAACCGAATATAATATTCAAATTAAAAAAAAAGCAACTACGTATATAAAAGATTTTAGCTTCACGACGCATAAAATTAAACAAAGATATTTTGCATACCTATCTACATACTTACCTTCAAAAACAACAATTATATGTTTTTTTTTATTTTATGACGATATTTACAAAAAAATTCGAATAATTACTTGGTATTATGGAAGTAAAAGAAGTAAATAAACTGGCAAACTTATTACGAGATTCGGGGGACAAAATTCTTAATTCCGAGTTTAAATTAACTTTATCTGGTAAATATATATAATTGTTTCATTTTTAAATTAAAAAAAATCACAAAAAAATATACCATATATATGTACATATATGTACATATATGTAAATAAAACAAAAGAAATAAAATTAGAAAACCAAATATCATCAAAACTGATTAGTTCAAAAATATTTTAATTTTATATTTTCCTACAGTTTCGTTGCTTCTTTTGTTCTTATATTGATATTATTTTTAGGTTCTCTACTTAAATGTTTGAATGATTGTTTTTCCTTGATAACACACGAATCAGACACAAATACAGAAAATGGTTTCCAGGTAGTAAGACCAATAAGTATAAAGTTAAGTGTAGTGCAAGATCTTCAACTTATTTATGATTTTGTTCAAAAAACATTGTCTTTATGTATAACAAATTATGCAGGGGAAGAGAATTTCAAAGAAACAGTGGACCTTAAGAAATTTCGCAGTTTAGTAAAATTAGAAATTCAAAAATTCGATTTGAATCAAATAGTTGGTTTACAAAAGCTGCGTCCTACACTACAACAATTAATATGTACAAGATGTTTAAAAAATGTTGATGATATTATTGTATATTGCGGGAAAGATAATGCTATGGGATTTGTTTGGAATGAATTAAGAATAGCTGACTTTAGTTATAACGCTTTAAAAAAGTGTGATCATGCACTAGAATTTGCGGCTTATTTGCAAAATTTAAATTTAAGTCATAATCTTTTGACAAGCGTCGAAGCTATTAAATGGCTTCCACATCTAAAAATTTTAAATTTAAGTTTCAATCGATTAAGTTCTATCCCAATTTTTCATATAGAAGCAAACCGTAAATTAAAAATTCTTATTATAAACAATAATTTGATTGAGGTAATTAGTACCTGTCGATTAGAGTCTCTAACTAATTTCGATTTATCAAACAATTTTTTGTTGGACCATTCGAATTTATTACCATTAAGTACATTTTCGGCATTGAATTGTTTAAATCTTACCGGAAATCCTTTGTTTTTTCATCCGAAACATCGTGAAATAACTGCTAAATACCTACATGAAAACACTTCAATAAGAAAATTTGTATTAGATTTCGAGCCCCTGTCAAAATATGAAAAATCACTAACTGGAAAAATCAAAAGCTTTAACCCGCTATATTCGACAAGAAGTTTTACACAAATTAATAAATCAAGCGGCTCTTCAACTCCTTTACAGCGATGCGAAAGAGAAGGAGACTCACGAAGTACAAGCTCCATCGATAGTTTTAAAGCAGAGTTGAATACTACCAGGAAAAGTAAATAACATTTATAAATTTAATTCTTTTTTGACTTAATTATTTTTCTTTTTAAAGAATATGAGCCTGCAAGACGTTTATTTAAAAATTCTTCAATCATTGATTTGGAATCACCTTCTAATGCATATCAATCAGAAGAAACGAAAAGTTTTTTGGAAACTAAAAGTAAAATTGAGCAATTACGAAAAGAGCATGGTTCGAATTGGTTGCAAGAGCAACGTTCCAAAGACGTATTTGAAAATATATTAGGCTTAAAGCAAACGTCGAATCAAAAAGACAAAATAATTCCAGAAGATTTATTTAACGAATTTTTAAATTCTACAAATATGTTAAATGTTAATAGCAGTACTTGTAGTGTTAACACTTTGACTTCTGATTTTCCTGGAGATGATATTGCTTCAAATCTCAATATTGAATCGTCCCAAAATAATGAAAGTAAAACAGGTGATTTTAAAGAAACCATTCACTCTGAAGATACAAAATCGATAGAGAATGTTTGCGAAAGTGCCAATGATAAAAATTCAAATACAATTGGTACAGAAAATACCACATCATATCAATCCACTATAGAAGGAAATGTGCCAAAAGTCGATAAATTAGTTTCATTGTTTGAAAAAACCCATATAGTTTCAGAGGACGAACAATGTAATATATTTTACACACTTAATACAGTTATTTAATTTTACATTTAAATTAAAAATTTTTCAATAACTTTTTAGTTTCTGAGTCTGAAGATACTACAGATTTTTATATTGCTTACACCAACAATAGCACCGATGAAATATTTCTAACAATTTCTGATTCAAAAATTAGAGAAAGAGATGCTCTTACTAAAAGGTACTTAATTTATCAATCGTATGAAATGCAATTATTTTGAGTCGAAAATTTAATAATTATATTACCTTGCACAGAACATTAGAAAAGTGGAGTTTAAAAATTCTAGAAAGTTGCGATCGAATTAAGTCAGACACATTGCGTATTAATTTTGATACAATTCGAGAACATAAAAAGGAAAGGCTCTATAAAATAGAGGAAAGTCGTTGTCAGGTAATTAATTATTTTAAAGCAACAATACTTTGAATCAAAAACTTTATTCATTTATAGGAATTAGAAAAAAAATTACGTGAAATTTTATCAAAGAGACAATTGTCTGAAATGAACCAAACAATATATAATTGTGTTCAATGTTTATGCCAATTTTCGAGAGAAAACTCGAATGACTACAAAATAAAACTTAAAGGTAAAATTAATTAAATGTAAATATGAGTCAAAAGAAGTTTTCTAAAACTTCGATTTGATTTTCGCAGATATTGAATGTCCTGAATGCAAAAGCAAATTCATAGCAGAAGTTACAACAAACGTCTTAAAGAAAAATAGCCCCATACAAACGCCTGTCGTTAAACTAAATTCCGAAATTTTAAAAACTTTTTCAGAAGAAAACTCATCAGTAACAAATCCTGACACATTATCTTCTGTTTCAGAAACATGTAAGAATAACGCATTACAACAACAAGTTGAAACACAAAATTATACTCAAATAAAAGAAGGAAATAGCGATCAAGAAATACAAAATGATCTTCCACTCGTGGGAAATGAAAAAAATCATTTAGAAGAAAGCTCGTCTCATAGCAGTATAGGTAACTTATGTATTTTGGTATTCAATTTAATTTGAATTTGTTATTAGCTACTTATTAATTTTGATTTGATTTTTATGCTCTTTCTTTTTTGTAAAATATATTTCAATTATTGAATGGGGAAGAGTTTCGATATTCGGCATTATAAATGTTAAGGAATGTAAATGGTATTTTTTAAATAGTAGTAGTTTACATAAATATAATGTTGTGCAGTTAGTATTATTTGCATTCTATAACATTTAACCATATATCAAAGCTCAAAAAACATATTATAAATAATCACTATAATCATAACATTGGCTGGCTTTCTTAATATTAAATCAAACCTTCATATTTTTCTTTTAAAATTTTGAAATTGATGTTTTTCTTAGCAAATATAAATTCTAAGTTTTAATTCTTAAGTAGTCTAATTTTAAATATTTTGTATTTTAATATACTAACAATTGTAATATAATATGGTTTGATTTTGTCTTTTTTATTTTTGGTAATGCGTGCACGTCTATATTTCAACAACATTTTCTTTAACACTACAAATTACTTTTATCTTATATATGCAAGGTAAAGGAGTTGTGTGGAAACAGTCTAATAAGCCTTTAAGTAGGAATTGTATTTTTGTATTTATATTTATGTTACACCATTTAATCTTTTGTTAAAAAAATGTAGGTTCTGCCGGATCACTTATCGAATCATCATCATGCTCAAAAATATCACAAAATTCTTTTGATTCTAATCAAAGTGTAGCTGGGAGCTCATCAAACGAACGTGATAATGATTTCAATAATATGGAAATTAGTAGCAATAAATATTATAATGATAGCGAAGTTGAAATTTTAAGTAATCCAAGTCAAAGTAGTATTGAAGTACTTGATGGTTTTCATTCAAGCAGAAAAACTTCCGAAGAACGCAGGGTATCGAGAATACCATCCCTTGAAACTATTGAGGATAGTAGTATTAGAAATTTTAGCTTTAAAATTGGTGAAGATAACACAACAATGGATTTAATATCTGGTGTCGGTTTAATGAATGATAACAATAGGACAATAACGAGTAAAGATATAACTGCGGAGTTTTTAAAAAAAGAAATAAAAGAAACACTAGCTAAGCAACAAAAAAATAATGACGAAGTGGAAAATACTGAAAAGATTAATAAACGACTGGGAATAATTGAGAAAAAAATTAGTACTGGTCAATTAAACTTGACAGAGAGCAGTTCATCAGGCTCTGTTACTGATAGCATTTGTACAACATATGAACAAGAGAATAAAATCAATAATGATATTGCAACTACTGCAAAAATTGATGGGAAAGATGAAAAAGAAGCGCCATATATGTTTAACATTTTAGGAGGTAAATTTTTTTGAATTTATTATGTTTGAGTACCTTTAGTAAGTTTTTGTTTTAGGTCTATTTCAGTCATCCAACAAAACTATCTCTAAATCTGAAAAATCTTTAGATAGCGATGTATTAAATGCTACTGAGAAATTTAAATATAATTATAATAATTTCGATGATATTGATCATCGATTAAAATTTTATTTTGGAGTAAATAAGTTTAATATTAAAAATGAATATTTCAAATGGCTAGTTAAATGTAAATTTTTTGACGGTAATACTTTAAGATATTTCAAAGCGATAGTTGCGATGTCAACTTGTAAGTTATACATAATGGAAATTATTGGAGTAGAGAGCGATGATCCAGCAAAATGGTTAAAAGAAATATTAAGTGTGTCAAATGATAGATTAGAATCTCTGCAATTGTTACCTTTTAAAGCTGGTTTATCAATGGCTATAAGAAATTATAGCGAAACATTTCTAATGATATTACAAGATATATCACGTACGGATAGTTTAATGTTATTTTTTACAAGTAAGGCAATTCATATTTTTTTTCAATAATTTTTATAACATTAATATTTTTTATAAAAAAAAAATTATTTAATTTTATTATTTTAGATAATGCTTTGCCTAATAATTGTAGTTTAGAATATCAACCATCCGAAATTGTGATAACAAAACTTTTGAGTTTAACCGGAAAAAATAAATTAAAAATGTTTGCGATATTAAATTCTTGTGAATATAAAGCATCAAGTAACGATACAGATAGTCAATTTATTTCACCAGCCGGATTTTATACAACAGATGATCATTTGTATTTAACTTCATCCAATTTATCATGGCTATCAGAAAATTTAGATAAAAGTATTACATTATGTTCAGTTCAAAAAATGAGTAATTTAGTTGAAATTAAAAAATTGGAAAATAATATTTTAGAAATATGTTTTACTGATGAAAGAATTGATAGCCATAATACTTGGAAATGTACATTTGGAACTCAAGAAAATGTAAACAATATTTTGAATAATAATCTAAAAACATAAATATTAAATTTGATTTTATTTTTAGGCGGATACATTTTTAAATGCTATCGAACAATCATGGGAAAAAATTTTTGGTGTGCCTTTATTGAACAATTAGTTGAATAAGAAAATATAAAAGTATATGTGTATGAAAATATAATAATCAAAATTTGCTCAGTTTTAAAAATAAAAAGTTATCATTTGAAATTTTATAAAATAAAAACAAATCTCATATTTTTTTCGTTTGCAATTTTCTGAATAAAGAGTATATTATAATGTTAATTAAACAGGGAAGCAATACGATATAAAAACATTTTGTTTGTAACTTATAGAAAATAAAATACAATAATTACTAGGTCTAGAATCTATAATATTCTAGTATCTTACTATATCTATATTATTAAATAAATAAGTTCAGATATTTTACTTTTGAATCAAATTCTAATAAAATATTTTCGTTTAATTAGTAAACTTTATGTAATATAACATTAATATTATATACATATTGTATTTTATTTTGTAATATATTTCTTTAAGTATTTAATTTTTTTTTTTGTTATTCTTATTACAATATTAAAAACTCGTTTAATGAAATCAATAAAATATAAACTCAGAAATAAGAAAAAGAAATACTTTTTTCATGTTTAAATTTAAATATATAATAATAATATATAATTTTTGTGTTCAATTGTTTTACTTTGTCGTTTCTCAATTAAATGTACTTTAACATTTTATTTAATTTTTACATTAATATAATTAAATTTTTACGATATGTAACACATAATCATCTTAACAAAAAATAAAAATTTACAAAAGAAAAACATCTAATAGGAATATTAATTAATTTTATATAAATATATGATCAAATATATATATTTACCTATATTCTATGTATATACATATTAGAAATTTAAAATGAATAAAATTTTGTTAATCATGTATTTAAAGAAAATTGAATTTATTTATTTGATAGCCAACTGTTCAGCTACCCAATCCATATTTTCATAAAATCTTGGATCACTCATTCTTAATGCAGAACGTTTGTACAGATAATAATATACAGGTGAAACTAAAAAAAGGAATTAAAATTTTTCATCAATATTTAGTTGTTCGCAAACATACTGTTTTTAATTTTTTTTTTTTTCTAATTTTCATAATTTAAGTAATTTAAATTAATTTTTTTTTCATTAAACTCCTTACATAATCTTTGAAGAATAAATAATGCTGTGAGTCCTGCAGGCCATTGGAAGGAATAAGGACTTTTATCATGACTCATGACACTGAATACATGATAACCAACACAAAGCATAAAATAAATTGTTAAAACAATTAATGGTAAACGAAATTTTTTATAAAGTAATTCAGCAACACCAGCCTAAAATAAAAAAAAAATTAATAAAACAATAATAAATTTAATAATTAAAATTTCATATACTTGATAAATATACGTTGAATACATGGAGAATATAAGAGTAGTAAAAGCCAATATTAAACAAATATCTTGAGCGCTAAAAAATATGGAAAAATATGGAAAAATTTTATTTAACTGCGTAAAATATATAAGAACTACCATAAATATACTTACAGAAAAACAAATATAATTGAAAGTTTGTCACCTCTAGCCAAATATGCGAAACTGTTCAATAAAAGATCTATAAACAAAAATGAAAACTGAAAAAATAAAATAAAGGAATATCGTTTTAGTGATAACTTCATTGCAATTCAATCTCCAACTTTTCAATTTCTTATTTTAAATTTTTCAAATTAATAAATAATTATTTTAAGTTGATATTTTTAACGCAGAATTAAAATTTTTTATCTCAAAATTCTCCCAGCCAGATTTATAATTGACTCTTGACATTTATCCTTTTTAAGAAAAGGACTTGCGCAGGATTTAAAAATTCACAAATTGCATTTATTAGAATTTGATACATAGCATATGCTGATGTGTATGTATGAATTTATGTATCTATGTATAAAAGTTGCACTCTAAGACTTGGATTCAATTATATTTTGAAAATATCTTATTGAAAATCCATTTACAAGTTTTACAATTTTGTATGTTCTTTTGCATTTAAGTTCCTTGCTTTGCATTATATTGAAATTATACATTGGGAATATTTGAAAAGTTCATTGGCATTTAAACTTTCGTTAGTAACAGTATTTTATTAGTAAAATTACGGATGCTGTGCATTGTACATTTTTTTCTAAGGAGTGTTTTAAGGGTGAATGATGCTTAGAATGTTTAACTAACCTCTTTCTTATTCACCTTTATTATCTGTTATTTCTGCTTTCTTTATCTGTAAATGATAACACATGTTGCTTAATTAATTAATATTTCCTTTTTTCGATTACATATAAGTATAATATAATGGTATCTATAACGTCATTTTAACGAGTTACTTAATACCTTGACTTAAGGAACTTCGCAACACTAAAAATCTGTTATACATAAAATATGTAAATGCTCTTTAAGGGGAATATTGAAAATAGAAACATTTGACGTTTCTTGTTTTGACGTTGACATTATATTGAACTGTCTAAAAAAAAATTCTTTCCGGTTCTTTTACGTCCAAAATACAACTAATATGAAGTAAGTTTTTATAAAAATATTTCAATTGATTCCTTTTGATCAAATAAAATAAAGCATATAATTGCTAGTATTCTTTTAAAATGTTGTTCTAAAATTTTAATTATGTGAATATTTGTTATTTTTAGGATTGGATTGTGTGTGTTCAGTGGGTATAAAATTTACCCAGGACATGGTAAAACCATGGTCAAAGTTGATGGGAAGGTATGTAAATAATGAATTAAATAAATTTTATTTAAGTATATTCAAATTAAAAGAAAAAAAAGAGGTGCTCATTTATGAAAAAAGTTAAATACAAAAATTAAAGTTTATTATTAAAATACTTCAGCATGATATGTATTTGTTTTCTACTTGATTTTCATATTATTTTGTATTTTGTAGACATTCACATTCCGTGATAAAAAATGTGAACGCTCATATTTAATGAAACGTAATCCACGTAAGGTAACATGGACTGTTCTTTATCGTAGAAAGCATAAGAAGGGAGTTGAAGAAGAAATTACTAAAAAACGTACTCGTAGAACACAGAAATTTCAACGAGCTATTGTAGGAGCAACATTAGATGAAATTTCAGCTAAACGTAACATGAAACCTGAAATACGCAAAGCTCAAAGGGAACAAGCGATCAGAATAGCAAAAGAACAGAAGCGTGCTGCTAAAGCTGCGAAAAAGGCATCAGCACCTCCACCACCAAAAGCTAAACAAGCTCCAAAACAAAAAGCAGCGAAAATAACACAAAAACAAGCTCCAAGAGTAGGTGGTAAACGATAAACTTTTCATCTTATGTAAAGAGTGACGTTTATAATTTGTTTTTAAGATAAATAAAATACTGAAAGGAGTAAAATGTTTTATTTTCAGTCAGTGTAAATTAAGGAAAAAGGAATTAGCTTATATACATTCTGTGTGCTTGTACATTGTAAATTAATCCGTACTAAAAAGCGTATAACATAAAAAGACAATAATGTAGACCTGAGTTAGTTAAATTTTTATGTTGTGTTCGTTTAACAAGTTTAAAGGACCGTGTATATTTTTGATGTTATATTCATTAATGTGTTATTGTCCATCTTGTATGAACATTAAGGTGAAGGGTAGGAATTTGAGTGGATTCATAGATTACATCGTTTGCACAAATGAAATTGGTTTTTGTAAGGTATATACGCCCACTTATATTCGTAATTTCTAACCCTTTAGATCCCCTGATCTTTGACACGCTGATTAGATCCTATAAGAAATTAGTACTAACTTATTCGAATTAATAATTAAAATACATAGTGCAAGATTTTTTGAGATTATAAAAATTTATTTTATTATAAGTTAACATAGATAATAAAAAATTTGTTCTTACAATTTTACAAAAAGTTGGTAGGAATGGATAATACAAATAGTTCGTTTTTGTTAATATTAATATTTTAAACTTTAATAGAAAAAATATATTTGTGTTACATTCAATTTCCCTAATTATTAAAAAAAAAATTGCTTAGTCGTTTTAAGTTTTCTTTGTCAAAGACAAAAATTCAATTATGAATGGTGAAAGGAAGACAAAATTTAAAATAAAAAAATGTCCTACATGAAAATGATCTATAATTCGTCTTTTTTTAATTTAGTTCCTTTCACATATGATAAAAGATCGTTAGCTTTTCTTGGGCCATCATAAGTACTGATATATTTTCCCTTCTCAAATAATATAATTGTTGGGAATCCTTTTATTTTGTGTTGTTCAACTAACTTTTTATTAACATCACAGTCGACTGCTCCTAAACGCGTATCACCAATAGCGTCAATGGCAGCTTTTGCATAATCTGGCTTCATACTTTTGCAATGACCACACCACGGTGCATAAAACATTACCAAGAGTCGTTTTATTTTACTGGCTTCTCTATCGAAATTTTCGTCATTTAAAAATAATATATTTTCTGCACCTGGGAAATCACCAAATGGCTCTGGGTCTTTTATTTGAGCTGATTCATCGGTAGGATTCTTTACAAATTTCACAAAATCTTTTTCAGTACGTCCTCCTGTATAATCAATTTTAGTCTTAAGATAACTGAAATATTTTATACTAGGATAACCACGAACTTCGTATGCAGAGCAAATTGCTGAGTGTTTGGTGCAATCAACTGCTGCGAAAGCAACTCTTGGGTCTTCTTTAAAAGTTTCAGCTGCTGCCGTAAATTCAGGTTTTGCACGTTTGCAATGACCGCACCAAGGCGCGTAGAATATAACAAGCGCGTGTTTTTTCTTTTTCAAGAATGGTTTGAATGTTTCTTCATTTAGATGTTCCACTTCAGATTCTTCCTCATCCCAAGACTTCTCTGGGGGCGGGGGTGGAGGAGGTTCTTTAGGATCTTTCATAAAATTAACTATCTTTTCGGCATCGCGAATGTTGACATCAAACTTGAATTCTCCGTTTACAAAATATTTCACGGTTGGATATCCTTTTACTCCATATTTTTGAGCTATTGCCGTTTCTTTTGTTGCATCTAAAGCTGCTAAAATACCAGGTATTTTTTCGTTTCGCATTTGCACAGCAGCCTTTTCATATTCGGGTTTCATACGCTTGCAATGTCCACACCAAGGAGCGTGAAACATTACTAAAACAGACTTTTCATCCTTTAGAGCTGGTTCAAAACCAGTTGTTGTCAAATGGACAATTTCAGAAGTTGGATCAACTGACCAATCATCTTCTTTTGGTTTGGCAATCGGTGGTGCTGTAGGATTTTCCATAAAGCTTATCAAACCAGCTTTATTGTTTTCTCCTTCATAAGAATATTTCATTTTTCCATTTTCAAAATAAAGCAATGTTGGAAAACCGGTAATATTATATAGACGTCTAGCAGGTGTGTTTTCAGGTCTATCTACATCCATTGCTGCAATAACATACTTCCCTGTAAAAAAATAATTAAAAGTCATTTATTTAATTTTTTCCTAAAACTTAGAATCGTATTATTTTTCCACCTTTTAGTTCACTTGCGGCTTCACCGTAATCTGGTTTTAATTTTTTACAAAATCCACACCAAGGAGCATAAAACATTATAAGCATTGGTTTATGCTCTTTTTTTAAAATTTTATTTAATTGATTAATATCAGCGATATGTAAAACATCCGCTCCTTTTGGATCTTCTTCCCAAGGTAAATCTCCAGATGGATCCCTCATAAAATTAACCATACTTGAAACTTGCATTTGTCTATCATAATCTTTGTGAAAGTCTCCGTCCTTATAATGTTTTAATATATGCGGCGAAGGTTGAACTTTTAGCTTTTTACATATTTTCTTCTTTTCATTATTTGAACAATCAATTAACACCATAGTACCAACACCTTTAACAATTTCTGCAGCTTCTTTGAACACTTTTATGTTGACATCTTTAGTATTTTCGACAAACATTACCAGCACATTTGTTTTGGTTCTAAAAATTTTTTTTAGTTCTTTAATATCATTTACATTATCTATTACAACATTTTGGCTAAGTTTTGTTAACACACTTTGTATAGAAATCATAAAAATCTGCGAAAAAAAAATCAATTGAAAATCTGTAAATGCACATACATAAAGTTCTGTTTTATATCTTACCAAACAAATTGTTAATATGTTTTTAAATTCCTGCATTATTAAAAACTATCTTTTGTTGTTTCAATTTGTACAACAAGAAATGCTAAATAAATCATTAAAATAAACAAATTCTAATCCTTCTACTTCATGCCGGTTTTGTTTATTACTGTGATTAACCAATTCAAAACTCACAATATTCATTTTTGGGCTCGTTTTTAAAATGTCCACGTCAAGGTCGATTTAATGTTGCCATAATAAGAAAATTTTTGACACTCGTATAAATTATTTTAAAATATAAATTAATAATTTAGCTGGTATCGTTTACATGCTTAAGTAAAACTCTCTTCCAATATGTCACCAAAAGTGTGAAAAAGTTGTTCATATAAATTTTCTGCACACACTTTTAAAATTTTTGGTAAGCATTTATGTTTATAAAAGGTGTATATATTCGAGCAAGAAGATTGTTTTCAAGTAATTATGTTCTTTATTCTGGTTGATACTGGTAAGTAGTATGTACATGTATGTATATCATAAATTGATCAATTTCAAGATATATTAAGAACGCGCTTCAAATGTGATTAACTTACGCGTGTGCAACCACACAAATATTACTTTTACACAAAATCCACCTAATTATTATGATTGAAAAAAGTAAGGAAACATAGCATTAAATCAAAAAGTCCGATAAATTACCAAGACAATTTTTATTCAAAAATAATTCTAATATCATATTATAACATAAAAATTTCAAGTAAAAAGATGAATTTTAAGTGACAAGACACAAATTATTTTTATATTTTTCAAAACATTTATTTCAAATTTTTTATCAAATTTTAAAATTATTTCCTCTCTTCATTATATGGTAACATTCTAGTCACAAAATTCAGTTTCCGTAAAGGCTATATTTCGAATTCGTTTTGATAACTTCTGCAAATAGATATGCTTATAGATTTGAACTAATATAAAATACTTACTCTAATTTTACGGAACTTACTTTTTGTGATTTTAGTTTATCAATAATTTTATTCTCATGGCAAATGCGAAGAAAATTTGACGTAATTGTTGTCATTGCTAATACTATTATAGTTATGCCACAAAGTGTTGCCAAAATACTAGCTATTCGGCCAATTGTAGTTTCTGGAATGTAATCACCATAGCTGCAAATATAGGTATGGAAACAAAATTGTAAAGTGTTATCGTTGAAATAAATGTTTAGATATTTGCGAAAATGCTGTTTCTAGTATTAGAACTACGAAGCTTTAAAAGCTCTACGTTTAATTAATTGTACATGAAGCATTTCTAATCTTCAGTACTGCATATTCAGAAATTCTCATATTTTAGAAAAATTTTACAAAATGAATATTGATGAATTTTCCGAACTTGTAATTTCCCAAAAAATTTTTAAAAGAAAAAATTTCCATTTGTTCTTCAAAATGAAGAAAAATTGTTCCTTTTAAATTATATATGCATTAGCTCGAAGATAGTTTATTTGTGGTAAAGTATACTTATGTATATGGGTCGGTATCCTATGTGTGTATATTTCTAGCCAAACATAAGCACTTTGTCAAAGTTAAATTTTTTTTAAATATTTTTTTCCTTCAAATTTTCCGGAAAAGGTATTTTATTGTATGTATGTAGAAAAAGCAATAAAAACTGAATTCTTTAATAAACAATTTAGAATACGTGATAAAAATAATAATTGATAAATTCCTTCATAACATTATTTCGCTTATATTAATTTCCTACCAAAATTTAGATTCTTAATTTACTGGAAGGTTTGTATGTTCCATATTTTATTATTTATTTGTATAAATGCAATTAAAAAAATACAATATAGTTTTACTTACCCTAATGTTGTCATGCTTACGGCTACAAACCAACTAGATTGACGTACATTTATAAAATTTGTGCCGTTAGTATTTTGTTCAATGTAAAATATAAATGTTGAAAATATTACAATTGTTGTTATTAATAATGATCCAAGAAAAATTATTTGAATTGCACTTGCTTTTAATGCACGAAATAATAATGTCAAATTATTTTTTGAAAATTTGAAAATATCAAGCAGACGAAATACTCTTAATATTATAATTGATCTTAGTATACCGAAATCCTCGAATACAAATAAAATATTATAATATATGATGATAGCAACAAAATCAATAATATTTAAAAATTTAAATGCAAATTTACTGAAACTTGCAGTAAAAACGAAACGAACAATAAATTCTATTGTAAATGAAATAACGCATATTAAATCCAAATAAAAAAATCCATTACTATATCGATACGAACATGTAGTGGCATAATGATAGGCTATATTTGGACATTGTTCATTTCTAACAAAATTTGCAATAACAAATATTATTATAAACAAACCAGTTATTAGATGAAATATCAAACCAAATTTAGATTCATGAATTTTTTTAACAAAACTCTTCCATTTTTGTGTATCTTCTGAGATTTCATCATTTTCTATTAAAATCTCTTTTGTTAAAGTAAAATTACAAATTTCTTCTTTATTCTTTTGATAATTTTGGTAGCAACACTCATCAATCATACTTGATGTCATACCAAAAAATTCAAGTTCCTCATCATAGTTATTGACACATTCATTCTTTGGAAAATGTAATCTATCAGTACGATAGTAGTTCAATATATAACGGAATATATTTGGATCACGATCAAAATAATATTCTTTAGTAATTTTATTATAAAAAGTTTCTCTACTATTAGATCCCAATAATGTATTTGGATGTTTATCTAATGTACTACGTTTTGTTTCGAAACGATGTCCTGATACATTAATTAAAATATTTTCATCTTCAAATTTATTTAAATATTTTTGAATATCTGGTCTAGGTAATTGATAAGATGCCATTTTGTATAATTTAAAATAAAATATTTTTTCCGAGAATTATTACTTCTGATTTTTGCAAGAATTTGTTCAATACTGAATTTATAATTCTTACAAATAAAATTCTATCTCTATTTAAGGTGTTGCGATATTGAGGAATTTTTTCCATATTATGGGAATTCGAAACAAACAAGGAATTAACAACGGGAAAAATTGAATTGGAATTCTTTGTAAATTAAAATACAGTTAAAAAAAATGTTGAATTCTAAATGATCACGTTTACTTGATAGTATCTGTAATGTCAATTTTACTGCCACTTCTTCTGCCGTAAATTAACGTTTAGGATGAGAATTACCTTCCATTTATATGTTAGTTATATTATACAATTTTTTGTTGCTATCAAATATAAAACCTTATTCCGATTATCGGATCACTACGTGATTGTAATATTTATCGTAAAAGTTTTAAAATGTTTATTATAGACCCGAATCATTTGTATGCATTTGTTTGTGTTTATCACAATAATATCGAGTTTTTTACGATAACTATCACTTCTCAGAATTAGTGCCATTACTTTACGTTTTTGACATTTGGTGTGAATGCGGAGCTATTTGTTAGAAATTTTGAATACTTTGTGTGAAAATTTAAATTAGAAAGGTATTTTTTGTGGGAATTTCGGGAATCTAAATATCGCAACATTGTTCTATTCTAAAAATAGAGATGTTTTTTTGTTTTTTATGTATGATGTCATCAGGAGAATATTATATGAACAAAGTCATTAAAAAAATAAACAATAAAGAAAATCTTATGAACAATTTGATATTGTCTAAAATTGTATATTAATGTTAGTTTTACATACATATATACATAATTTTACGTAATTTCAGAGAAATGTATTAGAGAAATTTGATAATTGTCCGTATGTAATAAATGAAGTAACTATGTACAAGTTACTTTGTGAAGCAATTAAATAGACCGAGAAATTAATTGAGAAAAGTTCCCAGAATTCTTTCTTTAATATACTAATTAGTTTAGTTGTTTGTACCATATACAATATGAAAGCATCTTAAAATTTAGTTTAATATATTGTAGTTGTTTTTTTTATATTTTATTTAATTATAAAGATAATAAGCAAATTTTCAAATAGGGTGATTGTTTTTTGATGCTAACTTTTTTTTTTAAATAAATAAATATGGTTAAGGCCTCAGGGGGAAACTACGGCAGGCTAGTCACCTACCTAGTTAAACTCTATGACGCTATGAAACTAATGCATAAGAAATCATGCACTAGCCCTATGCTCCTTCCAGGAGTGAACAAAGGAAAAAAAAAAAAAAGGCCTCAGGGGGACATGAAATTTTTAGTTTGATTGATTATATAAGAAATATTCAATAGGTTTTTATTCAAGTGCGCACATATGCAATTGCGTGATCGAATACAATTAAGCAATCAAAAAACAGTTTGTAAGTTTTTACAAACTGATTGCAGTTTAATAATTTCAAATAGTTTTATTGCTTATGAGAGCGGCCAATTAATTTGAAATCAAACCGTAATTGCAAAACTAAAAATTGCATGTCTGCCGGGGCCTCAATATTACATATAAAGAAACAAACGTATAATATAATATGTAGGTTTTCAATAAAGATTTATTTTATATACTAATTGATCATTTTTGTTTCACTTTTTACATAACTTCTTTGTTTTTTTTATATTTTTTTAATTTAATATATTTTGTATGTATGTATATATGTGTACTTGTAGATATAATTATAATATTTTTTTTGGAAATGCTTTTCTTTTTGTTATTTATTTCAAACTAAAAATATAATTTACATTTATTTGTTTATAGAGTTTTTGGTTTAGTTTTTGTAATTATTTTCAATTTCTTTCTGATTATTATTTATTTTGTTTTTGATAATGTAATATGTATACATATAATTATGTGATATACAAAATACCAAATATTGTTTTATTATATGGTATAATATTATGAATATAGATAATATATTTTAAATATTCATGTGTAATTGATAATATAATTAATTTTTTGTATCATATTAATTGTGTATATATACAGTAGTAGTATTTATATTGTATTTTATTTATATAATACAATAATTTTATAATTTACTTTAAAAATGATTTTTTTTTGTTAATATATATATATAATAATAAAATAGATATTAGATTTTTTTTTTTAAATTTATTTAATTCAATTTTTTCTTATAACATAGGTGCTATTAATTTTATTTTTAAATAAAATTTTTTTAGTTTAAATAAATTTACATATTTATTTTTTTTTTAATTTTTTATGTTTTTTTTTTTACTTTGTTATTTTTTAATAATTAAACATATAATTATTTTATTTTAATTTTCTTTTCATTTCCATTCTTAGTAAAATAGCTGCTTTTGTTTTATACATACAATATTCATACTATTATAGAGTTTAAGTCAAAAAAGGTATCAATTTTTTATATAAATTTTAATATAGTATTATAAATATTTCATATTAATTATTCATTATTTTAGTATTTGTTCGAATAATGTATACAATTAAATATTGAATGTTAATCAAAAATAATTAATAATAATGTATAAAGAAAGAATGCCAGGTTGAATTACAAGACTTAAAATTTTATTTTAAATTATTAAATTATTGTAATATAATTACGAAACATTATAATATTTAATTATTCTAAAATTATTAAAATTATATGGAATTTTTATAATAGAAATATAAATTTAAATACATAACTTCTTTGAAAAGCATGTTATTTAATTTAAAGCAAAACAATGTTAATTTTGTAATTCTGTGGCAAAAAAGAATAATTGTTAAAGTTGATTTCAGCAAAAATTTAGATAACTAGACTATAATGTTTTCAATGTTCAAATAAATGTCAACTTATCGTTTACTTTGGCTAAATTACAAATGTAATAAATCAAGATATATTGAATAATTGTTAAAATATAAAATTATAGTTAAACTTGCTTTAAAGCGTTCATTCCAAAATTTAATTAAATTTTATTTAAAATCTCCTTACATGTACACCAGAACAGATAATAAACAAAAACTACTTAAGTTTAACAATAGCTAAAAATATAAATTTGAAATAAAAACCTATATAAATTTTAGCGCCTAAAAACTTTTTCGAAATAATGTGCAAAAAGCGACAAATTACAATTATAAAAGTAAATTCTACTATTAAACTAATAACCTTTTAGTCTTAGTCTTTATGTAATTTCAATGAAAAGGAAGGACATTTTATTCTGGAAATTTGCTTTATTTTAATTTCGAAGCAAAAAGAATTAAAAACATATTATACAGAAATTATTATAAAAAATATAGAAATCTCATTATTTATATCCCACATTTTTTGTAAATGTATACATTATAATATAAATAATAAATAATTTATATTATTTAACTATGTAATTAGACATGTTTCTTTTTTTTTATTTTTATATGTTATTTTTGAATTACAAACATTGAAAATTGAAATAATTTTATTTACATAAATTCTTTGAATTATTTTTTTTTATATAAATATGTATGTATGTAGATTGAAAATTCCTTTTATTTTTATATATAATATTAATAATAATGTATAATGTTGTATGTATACTTTTCTTTTTTTTTAAATAACTTAGAATATTTATGTATTTTGTATTAAAATTAATAAATTTTATATAATAAGATTTAATATTTTACATGTAATTTTATCAGTTTTTTTTACATACATATAATATTGAAAATGCGTATGATTTAAAACATTAATTGCATAGAGATTAAAAATTTTTAAATTAATTTTATTATTTTAATGTTAATTAACATTTTAAATTATAAATAATTATACTATGTTATAAAATTAATATTAAACGTGAATTATTAATAAATTGTGTATAGAACAGTGTGGGAAATTTGAATTTGTATAATATTAACTGTAAAATGTCAATTTAAATAGATGTGTTCGTTGATACAAGATTTTGATTGAAAGTTTATAATTTATTAAGAAAAATAATAAAAACAATAATTAAAATTGTCAAAAACATGTCAAATAATAGAGCAATCAATGTTTCAAATACAATAATAAAAGAATATTTATATTTTAAAAATGTAATTTTAATATTATAATTTGTTCATATTTTTTTTTTTGATTTGATTCAATTAATTTTTCTAATTTTAATTTTACAATTTTAATTCAAATTTGTTTGTTGTAATTTAGATTTTTATTTCATTTTGTTAAAAAAAAAATTATTTTTAATAATGATGTTGTTAATGAATAAAAATTGAATTTATCTAATAATTATGAAACATAAAATTTATAATTAAACTTTGTTAATTTTTAAAAATTATACGTAATGTAAAAATTATGTGTTAATGTATGAATGTAATTAAAATGTCTTATGTAAATTAAATGTCTTAAAATCATGGATTTAAAAAAAAACAAAATTTTTATTTACATATTTTTCTAAAAAAATGTTTACCCTTTCAAAAATCTAATGAAATGATCAAATTGTCACGATAATAATTAATTATTTATGTGAATGGAAGAAAAAATTTAGTTAAATTAGAAAATTTAGTTGTTATTTGAATATTTAAATAATAATATTTCTATAAATATTACATGTATTCCCGTTTTGATTATTTAAATTATTGAAATAGAAGTTAAGGTGACAAGTTTTTTTATTTTAATAAAACTAATTCACTAAAAATTGATTGTAGCGCTTTTAAACTAATAGGTTGGAGTTTATTTAATATTTTTATTTTAAACGTGAAATTAAAACCGAACAATGGAATGTTTGAATTATTACTGATCTAATATAAACATTATGTAATAATTACATTCATTTCAAGTATATTAAGTGACTAAATAGAATTTTAAGGTTATAATTACATCCGGTACCTTTGAATCAGACCTTAATTAATTAACATAAAAAATTATAGCAGCAAAAAATAAAGTAAGTGGTTTGCGAATACTGACGTATTTTTAATTATTTAAAATAGCAAATCAATTTTATTTTAAATTTTTATTTTATTAGATCTAAAGGTAACTTTATTAGGCTTATATAGAATGATGATAAAAATTTTATATTTTAAAATCGATAAATAAAATAAATAATTTCTTAAATCATATTTAAAAAATGTTAAACAAAATACATACATATTTATATGTATATATTATGTTTGTACATATATGTAATATTTGTATGTTGTATATTAATTTGATTACAAACGTAAATGGTAAATTAAATAGCCAACAATTTTATTATTCATAATTGCTATTATATTGTAGAATAATGTTTGTGTGTATATGTAAGTATAAATTCTAAAATAAAATTTATGTAATTATATGTATATATGTATAATTGAATTTTTTTTGAATAATTTTCTTTTTTTTTTTTGTAAATTTTGCAACAGATATAATTTCATACTTTTTTCTTTTTTAAAATTTAAACTTAAATTTTTTCCATATAATTAAATTAATTTAATTTTTATTTTCATTTCCATTTGTTGCTGTTGAAATTGCTGTATTAGTTGAAAATGTTGATAAAGATGGTGACAAATTTTTATTAATTTTATTTCCCGTGGATGATTCATTATTCGTGGATGCAATTAATTTTTCTTGATTATTATCCTAAAAAGTATAAAATATAAAATATTTGATTAATTACAATATTGATTTAATATAATAAAGAAAGTATTAAACGAAGAAGAAATATAAAAAGAATGGGTTGATTAACACCGCTATAGCATATTAGCATTTATTAAATGATATGAAGGTTTAGTCGAATTCCAAACTCAAAAACGTATTAGGCATGTAAAAATTGATACGATCACAATATGTGTCTTCCTTATTGTATATAAATGCGTACTGATACAATTAAAAAAAAATTATATGATTTTTAAAAATTTGTTACAATAAATGGATATGGAGTGTTTATGTTCAAGATTTTTCTACTTTTCTTGAAATTTATTAATTTCACGCTTTACATTCAAAAATGCATACATAATTATGTACGTTATAATAATAAAAAAATTGGAGAAAGAATTTATCCTTTAAGATTACATAGTGGGAATCATCCTCTAAAACAAATAAAATTTTTAAGAATAAAATAAAAAATTAAATTCTACAGAATATTTTCTATTTTTTTACCATATTATTTACTGATGGTGGAATATTTCCAGTACTGCGACCCCATCTTAATCTTAATTGTGAATTTCTTTGTTTTCTTGTTTCCCGATCAAATTGTTGTTGTTGATTTTCTGAATGTTGTTGATTTTGTTCATCAATTGAATTTGGTGTATCATATAATATTGTATTTTCATTTTCATTATTATTTTCTTTATCAAAATATTGATTATTATTTTCCTCTTCAATTTGTTTTAATGCTTCCAATAACATTCGTACAGATTGACTTGTTGAATCAGATAATGGAAAAATTTCATTTGGTGATGATGAACGGTCCTGTTTATTTATATGAAAATAAAAAATTTTAATTAAAATTAACATTTTTTAATTTAATTTTGCATATACTATTTATGAGTATATAACAAACTCACCATATCGGAATGTAATGGTACTGATGGATCACTTCGTCGACCAAATCTTAATCGTAATGATGGTGATCTAATTGGTTTTTGATTAACATCTCCAAACCAATTATAATAACGTTTTGCAAGTGAATGTTCATTAAAATTTAAGAATGTTGGATCAGATCTACCAAAACGTAATCGTAATGATGGTGATCGTTGAGCTTTACGTTCAACTTCATGTTTTGGGAAACCTATTTGGCCGATATCTTCTCGTTGTAATAAATTTTCATATAATTCATCAATTGGATCTACAAATTATTTGTATAATTAAATTAAAAAATAAATTTAATATTATATTTATTAATAATTACTTCGTTCTGATACTGGCAATCCTGCAACCATATTTATTAATACCACAATGTATAATATAAAATTATGCATGTTTGCGTATATTTTGAAAATAAATTCGAAATCTTTTATATAAGTATATCACCTGAAAAAGAAAGAAAACGGGAAAAATCTTAATTAATTTATTGTCTATATAGAAATATTGAAGTTCAATAAAAAAAAAACTTTTTTATTTTTGAAAATAAAAGAGCGAATTTTTTTATTTTAATAATTTATGAAGTAAATTTAGTTTTAGTTTGGTTTTGAAAGTGAAATTAATTAAGAAATGGATAATTTTTTTTTATATAATATGGTAATGAAAGCATAAAATTGCAAAAAAAGAAAATTTAAATATTAAAAGTCAAAATTTTTCTTTATTTTTTATGTGGCATATACGAGTATAACAACTATATTAAAGTATTATACAAGTATGTAAGTATATTAATATGGTACTTGTTTTTGTATTGTAAGCACAAAAATTTTCTATAAATGCCCTTAAGTAAATTTGTATATTGTATATAGAAAAACGTATACGGCAATTCCACGCAGCGTGGATCTAACATTAAAATTTATTATCTTGCTTTATTTTTCTTATACAAACTTTTTTTCTAATCTGGATAATTTTTGAATTGATATTATTATACATATATTAATTTCCATGTTATTGTAAAGTAAAAAATCAAATATTGGATATACGGTACCATAATATTTAAGAATATAATCGCAAAATACAATTTCATGGGTCTATAATTTCTTTGAAAATGTATAGAGAATGCAAGAACAACGAGAATTTTAGAGTTTTCCCTACCGTTTTCTTTTAACTTTATTCCATATTTTGTTTTTGCATTAAAAATTTCTTATTCATGTTATTTACTTCTGTACATATTAATTTTAAGAAAGCAATTTTTAAAATTTTGTTTTTTAGAATTTTATAGACCATGATTTGAGGAAAACAAAGACAATTATATTCTAATAAATTCTTTGCAAATAATTTTAACTATATTATTTGTGCTGTATACTTTGTATAATAGGTATACTATTTTTATAAAGAATTTAATATATGTATATTTGAAAAAAAAAAATTGTATAAATTTTCTATAATTTTTAATCAAGATAATGATGTTTTTTATAGTGTAATCAGCAGGTGATACTAATTCTATGAATATGCTATTAAATTCAGTATAATCAACTTAACGTATAAAAAGGCCAGTAGAAGGACAAAAATTAAGTAATATTATGCGTTTGATTTTTTATGTATATATAAAATACATATATAGTATATGTGTTTATATGTGTATATTCAAGTTTGCTATTTGAAAAAAATATTGAAAACAAAACCCAGCTCTATCAAATATTGAAAACAAAACCCAGCAAACAAAAAAAAAAATTTTGATTATGGTATGACAACAAAAACATTAATTATGAGGCTTGACAACATTCCATTGAGGGTATACTCGTAGCTCGAGATCGTGCTTATATTGTATAGGAAGTGACTATCTATCATATTATACGAGTATCTAACGCGAATTTAAGTAATAATTTTAAATTATTGAAAAATAATACACATCATATTTTCTAAACTTCAAAAGACCTTATGCTTTTTTTCATTTTTCTATTAAAAAGAATAACGTGATATATTTAATATATAAATATAATATATATAAACATATATATACGTATGTATATTTAACATTCAATCTAACGACTGCCTACTGTGTATATAATATAAAAATAATTTTTTTAAATCTTGTAAACACCGCATAGCAATTAAAAATTTTTAAATGTTTAATATAGAAATACGAGTACTAGAGAAAATTTTTTTTAGGTTTTAAATTCTTAAGTTTCTTTGAATTTAAATTGCCCAAGGAATAGAAAAAAAAAGTATGAATAAACTGTACATACATACATATATATGTATGTTTAAAAAAAAAATTCCAAATAGAATAAAAACATCGTTTAAATGTCGTGTGCTTTTTGTAAACATTTTTTATTGTCAACATATAATATTTTCTAATTCTTATAGACGTACAATGTACTATGTATACACATGTACCTGTATATGAATGTAATGCCATCTTAAGAAGATTTATTTATTATAATTTGTCAAAAGTATCACTAGCGATAGTGTACATATATGTATATACACATGCATGTGCACATAAGTATGTAGAAGAGAAATATATGTTCTATAAATTTGCATAATACACATGTTTATATATTTGCATATGTATGTATGTAACAATATACCACAATACATAATGTGATTGCTGTGCAAAACAAATTATTATCAATGACTTTAAGAAAGTTGAAGAATTTTAAATAAATTTATGAACTTAAAATTTTGTTGAGGTTTATGTATGGATTTTTTTTTATAAATAAATAAATTGAACAGTATTAAACAGTTAATTTCTCAACACGTTACCGTTATTATAAAGTGAAATTTTTTTTTATGTCTGGACTATTTATATAATCCAAAAACTTAAATTTTGTTTTCATCGTCGTTTTTATTGTTTGCAGTATATGGCAATATTCTTATCAGTTTCCTATTGTATGGCAATTTCATAAACGAAATTTGAAGTTTGTGTCAATAAAGCGAAAAATTATGGTAAAAGAATGAAATTTGATAATTATTTCATTAATTTAATTTCTACCTATTGGAAATATTTTATATATGGAATTATAAATAAAATAATTAATTTCCATATAATATAAATTAATTTTTATATAAACTTACGTTTGAATGGAATTAAAATATTTTTATGAATAGATATGTAAATGAAATTTCTTAAATTTTTTGAATGTTAAATACATATACAAGTACAATTGATAAATAATTATTACATTTATAATTTTTCAATATTTCTTTCTCTCTTGGTTAATCCGCAGTGGTAAATTTTTATAAACTACTTATATAGATTTTGAATTTTGTGGTGGTATACATTTATCAATTACTATGATAGAACAAAAATAAAACGCATATAATATACATTGAAAATTTCTTATGACATGCTCTTATTTATTTTTAGGTCTGGAAGATTCACAACACTAATTCAGATAAAAATTGTATTATGAATGGTGAATTTGAAGGATAAACGTAACAAAAGAAAAGATGGAGCTGAATATTGTTAGTTTATAATTTCTCTGATCCTTCATCTTTAACTTATATATTATGTTTAATATTTTTGTATACATTTTTATTATATTTATCACACGCTGTTCAGTTCACTTGTTTTTTCAGTTAAATTGTTTTAAAATATAGCTATACTTTCTTTTTTGTTTTTTGTTCATATTTGAAAATTTAAGAAAATTTTTCTAAGAAACTGAAACTGAATTTTAATAAAAACTAATTTTATTTTATATTATTTTTCCATATTAACCTACGTATATAGGTTTTCAAAATAATTGTTATAAATGTATTTAATCGTCTTTATCATGAAAATTGAATTCAATGGAAAAAAAACTTTTTTTTGCATTAACATCATTTTAATTAGAAAAAAAAAATTAAAGCGATTAGGCAAGCCCTGAAGCATAAAATCAAAATTATTTAAAAAATTTACAATATGGTTATTTAAAAATGTATGTATAATTACATAATTTTTACATACATATACAAAAATTATTTCTAATTTTAAGTTTTTCAACTCGTTTAAATAATAACTTAATAAATTTTCGTGGACATTTATTTAAATAATCCTTGAAAAACTTATTTTAAAAATTAAGAAATATATAAATACTTATATGTACATGTAATATGTTCTTGTATAACAATTATATTCCTGAAATCGTTCATTTTTATAAATTTGTTATATTATACTTATAATATTTAAAATTATATTGGTGTTGGTTCAAAAGATTTTCTTTTTTTAATAATCTTCGATAATACTTTTGATGTCTCGCATAATTCTCATTCGTAATCATATTAATTTTTTAAGCTTATTTTAAATAATCTTTTAAATTGGATTATTTTCGCATTTTTTTGTTTTTTTCAAAGATTTTCAAAACATTTTATCGTTTTTACTCATGGAGTATAATTTCCAATGTCAATATAGAAATTTGGAAAATAATAACAACATTTAAAAGAAATTAAATAAAATTTTATTGACATTTGTTTTTTCATTCGAAATGAAGAAATTAAAATAAAATTTGTTATTATAAATCTTATGTTTAGTTTGTGGGACACTTTTTTTATTAAAAGGAAAAATTAGTATAGAAGAACTCGAAAAAGCTGAATTAAAATTTGTTTTTTTTCCCACATATATTCAATCAGAGAAATTTTTAAGAAATAAGCAAGTGATATACTGTATGTGTTTTACCGCATCTCAAATAGAAAGAAAAGCAAAATTCATTACTTTGATTTTTAATATGTGTGTTTGATTTGTCATAATATTTTACGACAAATGTCCCTAAATTTATTAGCTTTAATGAATTTTTTAATAAAATAAGATGATGAAGAAAAGATCTCCCCCATTTCCGTAATTAACACGGTACTTTACTTGTCCACAATATTTCGGCCCTTTTATGTTAAGCATTTTGCAGCCAAATTATTGAATTGGATTGTATCAACTTCTTCTATTTAAGTATTAAAAAATATCCGAAAGTAGAATAGAATAATCTAAAAAAAAAAGAAAACATTAATAATTTTTTTATTTTATTTTTTCATTTCTATTCATTTTACTTAACAAGTCGATCAAATACTTGTTAAATTTACATGAAAAAACAACAAAATGGGGGAGAGTAAATAAAAATATTAAATCAAAAAAAAAATCGTGTTTTCAAATCCTTTTTATTATACATATAACATTATTTTAAGATCAAATAAATTTTCAATGTTAAGAAATTTTATTTAACGTGTCAAAAGTCAAGTAAGAGATTATGTAGAATTTACGAAACATAAAAATGAAAAACCAGGAAAAAAAAACATAAAAAGTATGCGACACTGAACAATTTTTTTTTTTTGCTTTAACATAAACTTGCGTCTTTTTTCATTGCGATTTACTTGAGAAATGTTAGAATTGATTCGTTTCCCTTCCAATTTTTGATTTCTTTCTTCCTTTAAATGTTTTTCTTTTGTTCATATAGCGCGCCTTAAATCAACTTAAAAAGAAT